AATAGAATTGTCTAGGAAAAATGACGCGTAATTTTGAACGCAATTCTTCAAAAAGATTCACGCGCGACCTTATGAACTCGAGAGACGCGTAGGTCGTGCGCTCTCAGATTTTTTCATTACATCGATGTTCTCGCAAGTTACCGCGATCCGCCCACTAGACCGTGTCGAGTGTTTGGTCTGCACTCGAAAAGGCTCAGCCGGAGTCTTTGTATTTGAATATTGCTGTCTAGGATCGCCATTTATACGGTTGTCGGCCTATTCGCGGATATCGATCCAGGGTGGATGAGTTTCGCCACCGGATATTACGGAGCTTGGCTTAAAGGGCTCGCGACTGCTCGAAAGGAACAAGGGACGAAAGGATGAAGGGAATGCTGGCGAATTTGTCCTTAAATAAGAATCGTCAGGCCGCCCTTCGACGGGAAAGATATTCGTCGCGATGAAGAAGAGGCGAGACGAGGTGCAAACGAGGCGAACGAAGAACCGAGGTATGCCGGGGACTCGATTAAATGATTAAACGAGCCCCGAGGCGCCATATTAAACTCGCCCGTTATTCTCCCGTTCTCCTTCTTGGGAGTCGTTTCGACCCTCGACGACGACGACAGTCTCTCCCGGCTCTTTCCATTTTTTCCATTCATTCTTCATGCGCCTCTCTCTCGCATCCCTCTATAGCAATGTCATTGTCCATTATCGCGGTACAATCGAGGAAGAACAAAAACAGATTTCGATTATGCCGATTGCAATGAATTCTGATGAACTGGTTTTCTTTTCTAAAGGAGGAAGGGTATAAAGAACGTCTCTCGTAAATCTCTCGAAATCGCTATATCGCCCCATCGTTGTGCAAAGTATATCCCGAGAGAATACACGCTCGATTCTCGTGGAAATACGTTAATCAAGTAATTTTAAGGAAGGAGAGTAATATAAATACAGTGAATTATATATATACATTAGAAAGATCTCTGTCCTATAATCAATTTCCATTGAGATTTTTATAAAATCAAGAATCAAGTTATACTCGTGATATAAAATAACAACGCAGTTTAGATTTATTAAATGTTCTACGTGTATTTTGATATATAGGTATTGTTTTAATTTTATATTGCTCGTGTTACTGTTCGATTACATCAATAATGTATATTATACTGTATTATTATACATACAGAATTGATACGCTTTCATTACAACCGTGTAATAAAATATATATTGTTAAAGTTTCGCGATACATAATTTCACGTTTGTATGCAGATTTGAAAACACCGTCAAACTGGATGAACGCTTCATTGTAAATATAGTTTGGAATGAGTTCGCGCGTCAATAAAAACGTTGAAAAAAGAAATTACGCGAATTAGAACGACGCGTGGGGTGTGTAACCATCGGTAAAATGCTCACGGGATATAATATTTTTTCAGAGAGTCGAGACTCGCGCGATTAGATCATCTAGATTGTTTTAACGCCGGCAGAAGAAGCGGATCGGCTTTTTGCAAAGGTTCGGGTATAGTCGTTAGAGCGTCGCGGCCGGGCCGCATTTGCATATAAACGAGAATTCACCGGCATGGTAACGCTGAAACGCGCCATTTTTATTATTATACCAATTAGGTCGTCACGTTGCGCGTACTACAAATTTCCACCGGTTATTTTTCTCCACGCCAATGTGTGTGCATGCGCCCGGTATAAGGTAGCCCACCTTCGTCTTTCTCGGATCACCTGCAAGATCACCGGCTGGGATCCCGCATCAAATTTCGGACACGCCTGCCCATCTCTTTTTTTTTTTTTTTTTTCGAGAGCCGGCTTTTCGCAGGCGGCATTCGATGCCCCGCGATTAAATGGCCTCGCGTTATATTTTTTTTTCTATCATATCGAACCAGTCGTCTCATACAGAGGGATTGAAAGGCGTTCTCTTTCCTCCATCGCTCTCAATCTTCCTGTCTTCTCTCTCTCTCTCTCTTTCATCGTTGTTCGACACGCAGTTATCCGTATTTTATGAAACGGTCCTCTCTTTTCCCCGACTGCTCTCGTTTCCTCTCCGCTTTCATAAATCATTTATGTCGCAAAGGTAACTCGCCTCTCGACGTTCGATTGCAATTTTCGCGTACCGTCCGTTAAATCGATTTAATCACGTTAGAGGCGACGTTAGAAGAGAGCGCGGAAATAATTAACCGCCTGATAATATGACTTTGCACGTCGATATATAACGCTAATAAGGCATATATACGTTCCGTATATAATTGCGATAATTGCGAGAAGGATCGTGATATCGCGAGCGGGTGAAAAACGCTTCGCGCGCGCAGTTTTATTCGACGAGGCTCTCGAGATTCTTCCGATTGTTATTTGAAACGTTTCCAGTTTTCAATATCAAACTGATCCCGACCGACGTAATTGCCAATCTTCGTCGCAGTTAGCGGAAGACGGGGACATGTCCTGTTCCGGAAAGCTCGATACGGGAAAGCCGATCGAAGATGCATCGTCGTGCCATCGACATTCAACAGCGCCCGGGCCCTTTCGGCTCGATGACATTTGACAGCTCGTTAGCTCGTTTCCCGGACGAGGGAAATCGCGGTCAGGATTGTCCATTGTTCCCGGGTCCAGACCCGCTGGGCGCGCGCGATTTTCTGCGCGCATATTTCGAAGGCCGATCTGTTTCCTCTCTCTCTCTCTCTCTCTCTGTCCTTCTGCCCTCATTATCTGGCAGCATAGAAACGAATCTCTCTTTTGTGGCTAGGAGATGTGTTTGGCGGATCGCCAGGATTAATTATAGTACTCAGATAGCCTGTTCGCGGACTGTCGTTCCTGGGCTTTCAATTTGCATCCTCGTGTATTGATGCCCGCGAGGCTTTTTTCTGTTACATACATTCAAGGGATTTTTCACGAAATTTGTCGTAAAAGAGAATATCGAAGATAATGCGGAAAAATGATCCCATGATAATTCTGTTAATTAAAATTAATTCAGAAAATAGCTATAAGATTTCTCTTAATTTTTTCATTATTCATTACACCCCTGTTTATTAAAATATCTGCTAAAGGATATTTATAGTTGATATTCGATGAATCGTAATTTATTTGTCTGGTGACGTTACAAAAATAATGGAACAAATATAATGAAGATATGAAAATTTGGAAAACCAAATTCGCGCTGTAAAACTCATTAAATCATGATGGAGATTTGCAAATGTATTTACAAATCATTCACATTTGAATTTAACGTGTGGAATAATCATGTACATGTTTTGCGAAATCGACCGTGTTTTATGCAACCATATTACGTGATCGTATGTTAATATTGTGGGCACGAATGAACGTGTTAATTAATCGACTGTGACTCATCATTCCGTTGACTTATGACTACCGTCGAAATAATTATTTCTCCGAAAAGCGATAACGAGCTGACAGAGCAATCTCGAAAGTAAGATAAACTGGACGAACGGCGAAATTCATGGCTACGAAAAAGGAACAGATATCGGTATTCCGATAGTCGTTCGAAGGAAAAGGCAGGTGTTCTTGGGAAGGCAGCTGCAATCACGACCACCATCTGCTGCGGTAATGCACGCCCGTTCCAAGTTTTGAAGCGGAGCGAGAGGCCCATCGGCCCGAGAAAGCCCCGTCAATTAGGCCCAGCTGAAACACGTGCCCGGTACAGACGAACCGATTTCGAGACGTGATTCTCCTTGAAAACCCTTGGCCGTTCCACCCCTCATCTACGTTTTTCCCTTTATTTCGTTTTTTTATTCTCCTTGCTTTCTTCCAATTTTTTTGCCACTCTTGCTTGGCTGCGCGCACGCCCGTCGCAGTTTCGCATCATCTTTCAACAACAACTTGTTGAGCAACAGTTGGTCGGCACGAGACAACGAGTAAGCATCCGGTGTCGATTAAGATAAAAAATTTAAAGAGCAAAGACTCGCGAATAATCATCGCGCATGAAAATTGCAAGCTTCTATTATTGAAAACCTGCTATTGATGGGAATTAATTTAGAATTGTATATTTTATTTATTATATATTTTTTACGATTCTCTCTTTAGATTTTTTTCATTTTTAGATGGCCTTTCTGAAATAAGTTCTGTTTTATGAGACTTATAGTGCAACTGCAGAACTGAAGATAGTTATTCTTCATAAATGTACATTTTTCGAGAAAATAATTTTTATTTTAAAATTTACATGCATTATTTTTTTATATTGTTTTCTCGAAATTTGCAAAGGTGTTTTAAAATAATATTTAATATCTGAAGAAGTAATTTGCTACAATAAAGGAATAGGACTTGTTACATTCAAGATATACCGCAAGCGAAATCTTGCGGCAAACGACACAAGTTTCTATCATAATATGTTGATAATATAAAATTCGATAAAACATTTTAATATACCTATCTTTAGCTTTTCTTTTAAAAATATACTATCTTCAAAATATAAATATCATTATAAAATAATTATTGAAATATCGGGTATATCATAATTTGATATAAATACATATTATCTAAACAAAATAAAAAAATATATAAAGATATTATATACAGCATATATATATATTATATACACAAATTGTATATAAAATACACATATAATTAATCATTAATGTAGATTTATATTTTAATATTCCGAATGTGAAAGGGAAATCATAGAACACTGTCAACATATTTGTATCAATACTTTAATGTAAAAACTAAAAATCTATGCGTACAGTTTAGGCAGAGTGAATCATTTCTAATATGAAAACGCAAAAAATTTCACAACATTTATAAAAATTAATATTTATAAAAATTATCGTGATCACAGAACTCGCAAAAAGAAATCAAGAAATATTTCAGTACTACATGAAATATTTCAGAGATAATTGTGTATAAAAAAGTAATTGTTTAATATTTTCCAAAACAAAAATATCTTTTATATACTTTAATATTTTATCTTTTTATATTTTTTGTTTAATAATTAAACATTTAATAATAAAGAATAATGCTGCGAGTCATTTAGTTAAATATATATAATTTCAAATAAAATTAGAATCAATTTTAAAATAAGAAAAACTAAAAAAAAAATACATTGACGGAAATTAATTTTAATAACGACCAGATCGGCCATCTCTGCTTTTCTCGTCTCTTCCTTTACGTCGCTCTTTAGACCTGGATCTTCTGTCACGCGATCTGGATCTCCTCCTGCGATCGCGACCGCGTGATCTTGAACGCGATCTCGATCGACCTTTTCCCTTCTTCCTGCTGTACAAGTACCGACGAAGTTCCCGGGAGATGGGCTTCAAGTGCATGAAGTTACAAAATCCGGAACGGGTACATTCACTAAACACACAATGCACATGCTCTTTGATTTCTACGGTTTTTACACGCTCTTGGATCACATTACGCTCTATATCTTATCTAGCCTTATTATATATTCTTTATATGATTAATATGTGATTGATAATTACCCCATTTCATATTGACGACAACAAGCCTCGCGAAAATCGGTGACGGGAGAGAGCTCTGCGTAAACGGGTCTGCCACCAAACCAACGATTGTTGAGATCGTTAACCGCCCTTTCCGCATCTTCCTCTCTGCGAAATTTGATGTAAACGTTCCCGACCAGATGATCGCCGAGATTATCGCACACGTTCATCTCTTCGATCTCGCCATATTTGTCCTCGCATTCGATAAAAACGTCTTCAAAAAAGTTATCATAATGCTCTTGCATCTCTTCGTCTGATACATTTGCAACCACTAAAATAGAGATATGTCCTCAATTATGTGCACAAATTTATCCAATGTTATTCTTATCAGAGCTTAATATATTTTAGCTTGTATAATATATTTAGATACATATGTAATATTATTTCATTAGAAGTTATAATACAACATGTGTACTTACGATGCGATCCATCTGCGCTTTTGGCAGAATTCTGAGGATTCACGTAAAGATTCTGGAGTAGACACGTCTGAAGAATACAGACTTGAATGAACGATGTATCGCGGAATTTTTGGATCATTTTAAATATCATAAATGATCGTATCACAAAATGCAATCAAAGTAAAAATATTGATATAAATCTGCTTGCATATAAGTATAAAAAAATTTACATTATGGAATAACATATTTAGCTATACAAAAGAATAGTTGTTGCAGTTGTAAACGAGATAGATTGGGATAGAATATAACCTTTTGTAAATATATATTATCCCGGATATAAACATTGCAATGCAAATTATTATACAAGATTTGCAAATGCAATTTGATTTGCTTACCTGACTAAAAGTCGGCTTGTTGTGAATTCGCGAACAACGATCACCATGTCGACAGGCACCAATCTTGAAATAAAAGGAGCAATTCACTCTGGAAAAAATAAATGACCAAACTTTACATTGAATCCTAACCTATAATTTTAGGTATCAAATGCTTAAAATGGTAATATGTGGAATTACTTGTCTTTCTCGGTTCCAAAAATTGATGCCAGATATTCAGCCATGGTGGAAAAATCGTCCGATATGAACGGGTCTCACAATTACATGTATTACGAAAAATGAAATTGTTTTCGCTTTCAAATGCTCCGAAATATTTCGCGCACGACACAAATAACTACATATTAGGAAATTACTTTACCGACGAAGAATTTATATCCAACTCTGATCAATTCTCTCTCTTTAGATCCTATACGTACAATAGAAAAATATTAGGAGTGCATATTAAATATCAGAAATTTTTTAATAAATCGAAAACGCTTATTATGCGCAGAGCCTTTATTCTTTTATAATAGATACTTTCCATTTAATAACATATTCGACTCTTATTATCACTCGGAACAATTTCCTATTACTTAATTATTAATTAACTTTTGTAGAATAGCCAAGAGAGCAATAATATTTCTATATTATTTCTTATATCAATAGTTTGATATCATTTAGAAATTTTGATGTTAATTATTCTACAAATTAATAAAAATGATTAAATTAATCGAAGTTTGTAAAGAGCAGACAATTATAGGATTTCTTAATCATATATTTATGTGTATATATTTATTTATATTGTATATATAATTAATAAATATATATATATAATAATTATATATATTAATTAATACACGCGGAATTATCGTTCTAGCAATGATCACAATTAATTTTTTGCTCTAAAATCCAGTGGAGATGTTTTATTTTAGACAGAAAATCTAAAGATTCTGCGACATTCAAAAACTATATACATCATAAATAAATTTCTAGCGCATTTCGAAAATCGCGCGGCCGCGTGGGTCTTCCCACGAAAAAATCAAAGTCGGCGTCACTATGCCTAGTATCATATATAATATACATATATTATTATATATATTATATATGATATTAATTTTATTATAAATAATATATAAATTATATTTTATTGTCAATGATTTGATCTCGGCGGTATCACACCACTGTTCTCCAATTGTTCTTTTAAACGGAATTTTTGAATTTTTCCGCTAGTGGTTTTTGGATATTCATCTACAAAGTGCACATAACGCGGTATTTTATAATGTGCTATTTTGCCTTTACAATAATCTGTCAGTTCATTTTTTGTCATGGTTACATCGTCTCTAAGTTGAATGCAAGCACAAATTTCTTCTCCATAGACTTCATCATGTGCTCCTATAACTTGCGCCTCTTTTACTTTAGGATGAGTCATTAGAAAGTCTTCGATTTCCTACAATAAAAGATAAGAATCGAATAATTTAATACATTGATTTTTGTTTCAAGAAGAAGAAAACAAGATCAAATCTATATAGAATAGTTTTCTAGAATAATTATAATTGAATAATAAACAGATAAATTTATATTTATATTAAATTGTAAAAGAATTTATATAAATTGTCAATTTCGCAGATGCCTCCTTCTTTAACATATTATTATAAAATAATAGACAGTTTAGTTATGCCAAATAATGCGAATTATATACAATTAATAATAATGACATAGTTTTACCTTAGGGAAAATATTTTCTCCTCCCCGAATGAGCATGTCTTTTAATCTTCCGATTATAATACCATATCCGTTTTCTTGCAAGATGAATTGATCGCCAGTTTTTAACCAACCATCTTGCGTCAATGTCTTTCTTGTATTTTCTTCGTCGTCCCAGTATTGTAACATGTTACAATATCCGCGTACCCAAAGTTCGCCAGGTTTTCCGAAGGGAACGGACACACCATTTTGATCGACAACCTTCTCGTCAAATACGTTAACAAAACTTTAAAAGCTATAATTCTATTTGAAGTGTCAGAATAGAAATTAATATGTATATACCATTGCTTCGATATGATTTGCTAAATGACCCACGGTGTTCTCAGCCAAATGATTTTCTTCTCCACGTACTGATTGAAATACTACAGCTGTCGTTTCTGTGAGACCGTATATGCTCTGTATAATCGAAAATGTATCTTACATTATTTATTTATGAAATTTTAACATGGTAAAAATCGGATTTATTCAAAAAATCGATTTTTAACATGTTAAAATTTTATGATTTACATGTATTATATAATTAACACGATAGATGTTGTGAAGAGTTATAGTCTTGATTGTAAACTTACCATCATATCATTAAAACCGAGTAACCCTCGTATTCGCTTGAAAAGTTCAGAAGAGGCAGGTGCACCACCAATAATTCCTGCCTGAAGACTATCCATCGGTAGTTGCAATCGCTGTTGTGCCTCGAGTAAGTTCACCTAGCAATAAAGCCAAAAGTAAGACTTAATTAAAATATTAATTTTTGCAACAAATTCGGTTGAGAACAACTTACTTAAAATACTAATTTTTATTAAATTTTGCAAAAAATTTAGTTGAGAACAACAAGCAAATTAAAAATGTGCTGTAATTTACAGCATCTTTCTTTGTTTAAAAATTATTTACAGCCTTTATTTTTAAACAAAGAAAAATTGTAATTTTTTGAAATTAATGTAACGACGTCAGAATTTATTTACGCAACGTATGATTTCTTAAGAATTGAAATCTTATCTAGTGTGCATGACTTAGCAATTTACATATCACGTACATTTTTATAAATAGCGGACAACTATATACTGCTACTAAAACTAAAAATATTAATATTAATTTTCATTATTTATTGTATAATTTTTTATTTATTTATTATATAATTTTTGCATATTTTTTACAATGTAGCTATTGCATAACAGAATATTTTTATGTATGAATGCTATATATTATCACGAGATCTGCTTATGTGCTGCATAGAATGGAAATTTTTCTAACAAATCTAGCTTGCCTTGTCTTCTATTCTTACCCACATAGTTGGCGTTCCATATGTTATGGCACACTTTTCTTGCGCTATCGCCTTCAATGTTTTTACCGGATTGAAGGAACGATCTTCTATAACGAGAGTGTTTCCAGTATGCAAGATGAGTATATTGGCCATTGTTAATCCGAAAGCGTGGAAGAACGGTACATTTAAACATATTTTGTTGTCGATATTTAGGTTTGTTCTTCGTGAATTCTATCACATATAAAAATATACAAAAATTTTTTTCTAAAATATTAAATACAGCTATTTAAGATATCTTGAGATTTGAAAGTTTATCGAGACATTTAATGTAAGCAGTTATTCGTACTTGAAACTGAACAAATCTAAGAAATCATTACATTATCTTCAAGGCCAAGTGAGTAAAAGTCAGTTTGATTCTCATATATTTTCTGTTTGTATAAATGAAACATAATGTAAGATTTTTTTGGAATAACTTAAATAACGAGTTTATACCATTTAAACTAATTTATATAAAAGTTATTAGAAAAAAGTATTGTTTTTCTAATTATTTTGAAATTACAAGGAAATAAAATAGAATAAGAATAAACTGATAAACAAAATTTTGTGCATATATGGGAATGAAGAAAGCTTTAATCTAGAAACACGTTACGTCAAGATACATTTAAAGATAAAAAAAGATAAAATAATCATTTTAATGCGTTTTACGAAGAAATATTTTTAGCTTTGTTAGACAAAAATTTGTTACAAAAAATTTTTGTATTTATATTAATTTAAGCTAAAAGAAATAGTGCACCATATATAATTTGTTAATTTACTTTGACACAACTAATTATGAAATAATATATCTGATTTTATCGTCTTACCTCTTTGCTGTTATTCACAAGAGACTTATGTGAGAGTAGAGTGGCCTTGGATTTGCCAGTGGAACCAGATGTAAACTGTATGTTGCATCCATCGTTACAGGATATTTCGCTCTGTTCGGCGGCGATCGCTTCCACTTCCGCTTTTGTTGCCGAAGCCTCAACATCAGTGAAACGATGAGTACCGCTATAAATTAAACGTGCTAATATCGCTTACATCGCTTCTCAATGACATGTTGTTTACGAGCGCGAATGGATAGATCTCGGTAAAGCTATTAGTCTAATTGCTCCATGATTCTTCTATACGGCAAGGATTATTCATCAAATCGATTGATCGTAAAAGTCAGAGAACGGTAGTACTAGATGAACACGCAAGAACAGAAAACATATGATAAAAATACGTAAAAAGCAGTTTCAACGAAAGTGCTTGTGAGATTAACATTCATCTCGATATCGAAACTATGTTTTGCTTTACTTTCCCTCGTTATCTTTTTCAATATTTTAAGTCGTATTCTTTATTATTTTTCTTAACCTAAAATAGATATGTTATTTTATCATCGAACCAAGATCTTTATGCCCCAGTTATTTATTAGCAAATATATTGAAATTTTATTATGACATTATGTTAATCAATTGCTATAATAAGACTCAATATAATGTTTTATTAATATAATAGAACGTATGCATTTTAAACATCGATTCTTGTTCTAATATATGTAGAAATAAAATAATTATAAAATTAAATAATTATATTTATATTTATATGTAAAATGTTTTCTATATCAGAAAAATTTTATTAAACGTTTAGGAAAAGAAATCTATCTATATATAAAATTGTAATATAAAATAATAAGAACAACAGACTGCGTACAAAATTTTTCAATGCTTAAAATATAGTGCTATCATAGGACATATATGTGGTTTGTGATTATATTGAAATATCTATAAAAATATGAGTATATGAAATGTAATTTGATACAATAGTCACGATATGTTCTTAATCCATTTCGTAAAATCTAGCGAAAGGTTTCCGTCAGTCAAAGTGCGAAGACTCACGCGATATTCACGAATCAGTGAGAAAATTTTGATGTGTGGACATATTACAAGTTCACGAATAATCGCATGCTCAAATTCACATCTAGCTGAGCAAGCACAAGGCCAAAATAAATTACCTTATTTGAATACATTCTAGCATATTGCTAATTAATCATATTTGAAAAAGCAATTATTAATAGATAGAAAATAATATTTTTCTTTAAAAAAAGCTACTTAAAAAAAATTTGTAATTTTGATATATGTAATTGTTTTTCTCATAAAAATGTCATAAATTATCTGCTAATCAATTTGATGAAGATAATTAATTTTCTGGTCAAACACATACAAATGTAAAAATAATGACATAAATTATAAAGTCTCTTATTTTTTAAAAGTAAATGAGAAAAGTTACTGATTAAAACAGCGATCTAAGATTTCGTAGAGAATCCTTTTAAGTTCATTTAAGACAGCACAATTTTTAAACGTCAATGATGAAATCAATTACAAAGTCTCTACACCATATAATTTAAATAATTAATATTCCCATATGATAATATTATAAGTAGAGATAATATATAAATCTTACGTCACATGATCAGGTGAATAAATGATAATATGTTCCAAAGTGGGACACACTTCTTTGGCGGCCAGTAACATCCTCGGATAATTGTGCATTTTGAACGTGGCTGGCGAGACAATCGCTTTTACCCCAACTTTTTGCAAACAATATACTAATTCACTCTGTTGATAAGCCGGGTTAATCGCGACGACGATTAATCCCGCCCTCGATGCACTCAGGGAAGTTATGAACCATTCGAGATCATTTGGACCCCAAATGCCCAGTCGATCGCCTTTTTTCATGCCTAATTTCTTGAGACCCGCCGCCACCGCGTCAACTCGTCGAAGAAGCTCGGAGAACGTTAATCGAATATTTTGGTGAAGCGAAACGACGCAAGTTCGTTCGGGCCAGGTTGCAACAGCTTCGCCGAGTATCTGTCCGATGGTTTTGTCCAATAATGGAAATTCGCCAGGATTATACATGTGAGCAGCTTTGATTGCTTGAGAAAGATTAGCTCTTGCTTGGATGTTTAACTTGTGATGACATCGTTCTGCAATGATTACTTACTATATAAATCTATACAATGATTTTTCGAATTATATATCTTTGAAAGTGAATTTTATTTATATTTATTTTTATTATATTTTTATTTGATATTGAGAGACTTGTACAATTCTTAATGTTTGAAATTCAAATTCTATTTTTTTCTTTTATATTTTTTATATAGTTTATATTTTTATATAATTAATTTTAATAGCCATTAATGCAAACAAATAATAATAATCTAAAATAAAAGAATATTTATTTTTATTTAATTTAATAAGAATATCAAGTAACGATTTTTCATTTGATAAGTTATTAACTCTATTATTAATTTAACTATTATTAACTCAATCTAATATCTATATTTTTGGAAATTGAATAAAATCTAATTAATAAATCTACTGCCTCTTTTAAATATGGAAATAATCAATAGATTCGCCACATCTTTCAATAAAATGATAAAGTATAGTACGAACTTTAACGTTTTTTACATTATTTCTATTATAATTTATTTACTTACCTCTAAAATTAGCATGCAACACAGAAAAACATCGTGAAAAATGATGATGATTCAAAATCCTGAACATAGCATATCGTGAATTTGATTTAAACAGGGAAAGCATTTTTTCGAAAAATAGTCACACTTGTGTCACTTAAGAAAGTACAGTATGCACTGAAACTGCAAACGGAATATAATGAAACAGTTGGATTTTGTTATCAAATTCTTATCTTTTTTTCATAATTATGATATCTATAGTTGAGTCATCTTTTCGTAATATGAATGTAATTATGGAATTTCGTATTATTTCTTAAAAGAGAGAAAAATGCATTTTTTTAATATTATCGCGTATATTTATTCTACGTCTTAAAATAAAGATTATATAAATTGCATAATGTTTGTAAATAGCTTTAAATATGTAATTTCTTTATAATTTGTAAACTATTTAAATATTATTTAATAAATTCATATGTAATGGGCTTTTAGAAGGCATTACTAGAATACGATTTTTCGAAAAGAGACACATTTAAAATATAAAAATATTTTATCAACATATATATGTCAAGTTAATAATATTAAAATAATATTTTGCAAGGCATTATGACATTATCACGTTTTTTTCAGTACGATATAAAATTTTATATTTCAATTAAAACTTTATTAATACATCTAGAAAAATAATATCGCGATTTTTTAAAATGATATCACTATGATATCATGAGTCTTCCTTTTTATCGCGATTTTATCTATTTATCATCCTATCAATTTTACACGATTTCCGTTCTATCCATCTTATTTGGATATGCATTAAGCATTTCCGTTCGAAATATACCACACGCACTGTCGGAGCACTTGTTTGTTGATTTAGTACATTCGGTACAGAATATATATCGTGAATATAGAAATAGGCGTTATAGGACACAATACGTAGATCACTGATTTCACTGCAATGCAGTAGAGAGACTGTTAACAGAGAGTATTTATACGCAACTGATATGTTTTATCAGTATAAATTCTCGTTTATACCATTCTTTTTTTGATAATGAAATAAAGTTGTGTATATATGTATATGCTACTTTACGTGAAGAAAGAAGGGAATTTACTCTATTCTCGGAATTTATTTTATTTTCGAAAGAATAAATTTCAAAGTACTTAAATCAATCACTGTCTCAAAATCCAAGTTCCTAATGATAAATCTTCTTCCATTGTGTAAAATTACATATATAGATAAACACAAAACATTATTTGATTTCACTAACATGATGTCTCTGCATATATTCGTTGATATAAACTAACTTAAGTCGACGCTAGTGCCTTTGTCACATTTATATACAGAGAAAATCCTTGATTTAAACTTGATACTAGAATATAAACTTTGATATTGACATTTAGTAGCATAATCATCGTTTCTTTAATCTATTCAAGATACTACTTAGCAATTTAAATACGACACAAACTTATCACAACAAGAAATGATCGATACTTTATGCTGTTGTTTTTATAAATGCAAATTCTTTATTTTTAAATCAATACAGTAATTAACAAACGCGTATATAAATATAATAGCTATATATTTATTAAATCTATAATTTATACTATAATTTATTATATAATTTAACATAATATTTATGGTTAAATAAAGCTTGAAAAAAATATTCGATTTTCAAGGTTTAAAGATCTCGAATCTCGTCAGTTTTCTCGACATACAATTTTATCATAAAAATAATATTTGTCTAACATCTCCGGGCTATTTTTCAAAAGTAATTAGTTCGCAGGAGTACATTGTTCAACTATATATATATTAAGTAACTTATCACGTTCTTATCACGCGGCTTACATTTTCCTGTATGTACGCCACGCCGAAAGTATGTATACCATGTCGAGAGAGCGAAAAATAGAGACCACGCGCGAGCGAGTCTTTTTAATCTCGGGCGAGCGAAAGCGAAAAGGAATCGAGGGACGTCAGAGCCGTGGCAGAGTCGAGGAGACTCGAGATAGACGGATAGCGTGCCTGCCAGGTTGGTCCGGAAGTCGCGTGTCGGCGGCAGCCATAACAGCCCCTCCGCGACTCCTCGCCCTTCCTCGACCTGAACCCACCACCTCTTGCTTGATTTCCGTAGCTGCTACCAACGACGACTAGCACAGCCTACCACGAGATTTACCCTTGTGTGCGAGAGCTCTTGCAATCCGTGCATAGATCGAGGGTGAGCAAGTATTGGCGCAACGTTACCCTAATGAAACAACGAGAACGAGTCGGCGATTGGTCGAGCGAGCAAGGCCCGAAGGAAAAGCAACCCTCTCTCTCCTTCTTCGACCCTCTCGGTTTTCGTAGCGTCTTCAGAATCGCTAGACTAACCGTGCCGTTAACACTTGCTTGGTACCCCGTTCATATTTTTATTCGAACAATCAAATAATTAGCAGTGTCGGTTGTGCGAGAACCTGTCATTCGTATCAGGACGATATTACAATTATTCAGAGATATATTTCAAGGAATTATTATTTTCTCATCAATGAAGCAAAACTGCCTCTCCTCGCATTAGCAGGAGGTCCCTCGAAATCGTTATGTGATAAACGTGAGGATCGTTCAACTTTCTCCTTGCCAAGTAGTGTTCCATGTCGCATTAAACAATGAAGCATCTATTTAGTGGCGTTTATTTATTCCTCGCTGTTGTATCGTCAACGATGTGCAATTTCGAACAAGAGTGAGTCACTTGAACGAATCATGCTCGCGTTCCGCGCGAAGGGATCGCACGGCATAGCATGAGCAGTAACAGCAAGAAGCCACCGGGAGGCAAGGACGACAAGAAGAATCCCTCCAACAAAGAGGACAGCCCGACGGGCGGAAAGGACGATGGTGGTTCGGCCTCGACCGGAAGCAATGGCGCCGCCGCCGCCGGAGGAGAGCCTTCGCAGCCCGGAAGTAAGCCCAGCTCCGCCGGAGCGACCGCCAGGGAAGGGGCCCAAAGGCTCCTGGGCCTGGCGGCGCGCGGCGAATGGGCCCCCGTGGACCAGCTGCTCAAATCTCTGGAGAAGACGGTGCAAAGTGCGGGAGAGGATGGCTTCATCGTCCCGCTCGCCGGCGTCCTGGACCCGGTCAGTTCCATCGATACATGGAAAAAGAGAGTTTCTTATAGTATTAGATAAACATTCTGGAAAAAAGAGTCGTAGATGAAAAAATTAATGTATTTAATTAAGACTTGAGATAGGTAGTCGAAAGAATGTTCGCGTGATTTTTCTTATAGAGAATTTTAGCGAAAAATTTTGCACGAGAAAAGAATGCATTATATAGCAAATTCGTGTGCTCCTTTTAATCTGGAGACTTTTAATTTCCAGATGACGGGGATGACGCCGTTGATGTATGCAGTGAAGGACAACCGCAGCGCGTTGCTCGATCGAATGATTGAGCTCGGATCCGACGTGAGCGCCAGAAACAATGTAAGTATTTTGTAATCACGAACGCGTGATTTGAAAATAATTATTTAATAGTCAAGAAAATTTATCTATTTGAAAAAAAATATAAATTATATATAATCTCGCGAAAGAAAGCAAGGAACAAATTAAGAGCGAGTTTTTTGAAAAAAAAACTCCACTTGAAAAGGAAAGATTTGATTCATTGTCGTTTGTTTATTCATTGCCGTCGCGATAAGTCTTCGTGCTTGAATTACGTGGCACTGGCACGTAATAGCCGCGAAGGTGACGCGTGCCACGAAACATGTACAGCTAATGATCAAGCGATTTGTGCTAAGTCAAGTCACTCGAGTGGGTAGAAGGTGGAAAACAAGTGGAGGGAACGATTGCGTGAAGGAGGGCCAAGGTTAAGGAGCTCATACCTACTGACCGAATGAACAAAACGAGATTAAAGGAATACATACGCACAGTTTTTCCCCATGACATTTAGAAGGTTACGCTTCTAATCTTATCTACACTTACCATAATTAATTAAGCCTTTAATCAGACGTGAAAGCCATTGCAATTAAACGTAAGATTAATCTTCTGACGTATATAATTTTTCGAAATCAATATTACAAGTCCTTCCGGTGGTATTTTCAGCAACTTTCAGAAGGTTACACTAAGGTTACACCAACGCGCTACATAATTGACCCTTTATTAGGCACAAAAAAATCCATTGCAGTTAAAATCTGTGGTGACTAACGACAAAGTTCCAACTTTAATCTTTTCTAAGAATCGGACTGCTTTTTCGTTGAAGTTGATGGCTGGCTGACTGACCTACTTGTCCCTTTACCCGTCTTGTCCATTTGGTCAGTAAACATAATCTCTTAACCTTGGCTTTCCTTCACGCAATCGTTCGCTCGACTTGCTTTTCCTCTTTCTTATCACCTTGAGTGACTTAGCACAGATTGCCTGATCACTATAGACATTTTGTCACGCATCACCGCAGCTATCAAAAATTTGTGTTAAATTTAACACATTTCACATGTTCCAATTTATCCACTCTAATTTTAATGTCAATTTAACAGAAGACAAATATGTAAATAAATAACACACGTAATATGCGAAAAATAACACAAAAATGTAACACTTGGATGTTATCTGGAAATAAGGTTTATATTAAATAAACATACTTATAAAGTTAAATTTAATTAAAATAAAATGTAATTTTTACATTTTTTAAAGAAAACAATCTCTGTATGATAAATAACATAAAAAAATGTCGATTTAACAGATAAAAATTTATAATTAATTAAGCCTTTAATCAGACGTGAAAGCCATTGCAATTAAACGTAAGATTAATCTTACGTATATAATTTTTCGAAATAATATTACATCAATATCCTGGAAATAAGGTTTATATTAAATAAACATACTTATAAAGTTAAATTTAATTAAAATAAAATGTAATTTTTACATTTTTAAAGAAAACAATCTCTGTATGATAAATAACATAAAAAATATGTCGATTTAACAGATAAAAATTGTAATAGAAAGAAAAGTAACATAAGTTATCTGTTCATAAGTTACAACAAACATTTAAAAAATGTTACATTAACATTTTTTAATGTTAAAATATAGAATTCTTAACAGATCGATAATGTAAATTTAACATCTTAATTTCATTAAAATCTTTAAACAACTACTTCAAAAAATGTAAAATTTACATTTTATTTTAATTAAATTTAACTTTATAAGTATGTTAATTTAACATATAAAATATATCATTAAGAATTCATACATTTTTATTTAAGTGTGTTGTTTTAACATTTAAAAATAGTGAATTTTAACTCAACACAGACATCTCAAAATAACACAACGGCAATATGTTACATTAACATAAGAGTATGTTAAAAATTTAACACAAAAATTTCTACACGAGATAATTTTAACAGAAATACAAAATGTTTTTTACCGTGATTTAATTACGTTTAAAATCTCTATTAAGAAACTTTCTTCTGATATAAAAGTGTAATGTGTATATTGTATTTAATTATTTATATATTATATAGACGAAGTTCTCTATTATAAGCTTATTATAAATAATATATCTTATTATAATCTACCCTGGTAGAAATTGCCTTGCCGGTGCCACGACACTTGATAGCACCATGCAAGTTTGCCACACTACAACCTTATCTAAAAGAATTGGAAAGATACATATCAGGGCCATCCTTGCGCTTGATATATAAATGGTGTGGTATTCATTATAAAGTTAAACGGCCGCAAGTCTGGATTTGACCAGACTTCTAATGCGGCCCATATTTGCGCCACGTCAATTGCTGTCGAGATTTTTATTGATTTTCACATTTAATGTATATCTTTTGTCATACATATATCTCTTGTTTTTGGATCCTTTCCTTTGCCTGGATTTTTTGCATGCAGGAAAATTGTTAAACGAGTATTTAGGCGTCTACGCAGAAATTTGTACGCATATATATAAATATATTGTTAAACGAAACTCTTCCGGGCCTTGTTTATTAACAAATAAATTTTTTTCTGTCGCAAATAATCTAAAAGTAAGTAACCATACTCATAATTTTTGGCACCAAACACAGGGACGACTGTAATAATAACTACAATTTTATCGAACATTAGAGACTTTAAGAAATTGGTCGAGAATAAGAAAAATTATACAAGAGAACAATTATAGAAAAAAATACAATATTAAATAATTATGTTTTTTAAATAAAGTATTACAAATATAAACGGCTAATAAGAGCAGATGCAACATCAAGATTAAACAACTAATTTATTACATCTAATTTATGTATGTAATAAATTAGTTGTTTAACCTTGATGTTGCATCTGCTCTTATTAGCCGTTTATATTTGTAATACTTTATTTGAATTGAAGAGCATTTAATTATTATATTGTTTATGTTTTTTATGCAAATATAAAAAAATAATATTTAGCAACATGATTATTCGTGTTACTTGCGTTAAAAAACACAATACATCTTATAAACGTTTTGTAAAAAACATGAAAGAAACGAGCATTAACTATGTTATCATTATGCAAACATATGCAAGATGTTACGTATTCGCTACTATCGATTTACTGTCTACCACTCCCACGATGATTTTGATATAATTTTCGAATAGCATGCTGATACATGATACACATGATTGAAAGTCTGAAAACTATTATTAAAGATTAGCCCGAATTTGCGGGTGCGGCAGAGCAAAATTTTTATGGCTTTTATGATTCTATCTTCATAAAAGTCCGTTTATTATCTTCCTGGGTCAACGGAAATGATAACCGATAATCATATCGTTCTTCCCAAATATCGCTTCCTCTCATAAACATTTAAGAAAATCATTAAAATTAGATAATTGTGCAACTATAATTAGTAATTAAAAATGTTATGTTGAATTCCGAGAAAGAATATAAAGTTTAATTGTATTAATAATTAACAAATATATGCATAAGATTTTTTTGATAGCTATAAATACTTTCTAAAATGTAAGATTTATTAATTAATTTTATAACGAACAAGAGAGAGAGTATATGTATAAGACTTTTTTGATAAATATAAACATTTTATTGAATGTAAGATATTCTATTACATTTTCTGCAGGATAATTACAATGCTCTCCATATCGCTGCTATGTATTCGAGAGAGGATGTTGTTAAGTTGTTGCTGTCCAAGAGAGGGGTTGATCCCTACGCCACGGGAGGGGTACGAATAAATATTCATTCTTGCAAATTTTCGACAAAAATTGCAAAAGAAATTCATCGCAACAATTATCTTATATAAATATCATATTGGAAGAGCTATTCTGTATAATCAATTTTTTTTCGAATAATTGCATAAAATTTTATTTTATTTCTTTAATTTTTATACTTTATTTCTTCAGCTACAGAAATAAACAGAATAAATTTCGTGAATATTTTATTTAGATCCCATTTAAATGTTGAATTAACGATTATATAGAATTATCATGCAAATTTTTTAACGTTAATATTATACTTGTAAGATAAAGTTTTCGTCATAAAGTATTTATAAGTTCTTGACATATATTTATACATTTAGCCAAGACAACAAACAGCGGTTCATTTGGTGGCATCAAGGCAAACGGGTACTGCGACGTCGATTCTACGAGCTTTATTAGGGGCTGCCGGACGGGACATCAGGCTAAAGGTCGACGGGGTAAGTGTAGCGACATTATTTCACAAACTTGCGCAACATATAGAGCGAGCAATAAAGCTCGCCGATTAAATGTGTCGCTTCTCGAGGGGTCCAAAAATTAACCGACGATCATCTCAGGTCAGGATGAGTTTCTATAATCATGCCACGCCACGGTAAATTTGCGCTGGCCCCGAAACTTCAAATCGAACGAAGATAGAGGTTTTTCTGCAATGAGCCGCGGCACGATGCTCCCATTTCGCGTCCGCGTTTCTCGCGTGACAGGTGCCGCGAGCCGAGAGATCGCTACCTGGTACCGAACGGCGCCATAACTCTTCTCCAGTTTGCTTTTTCCACCCTGTCTCTTTCTCCGTCTTTCTCTCTTGCTCTCTGTCATGCACCCCCGTCGCGATAGTACGACGCCACCGATCCGGAGGCGTCGACGAACGTCGACAGTCACGGCGATCCTCGTCGTCTGCAGGAAAAAAACAATAGCCATGATATATCGAGACGAGACGCGCATATTTAGATGTGTGTATGTTTCGGACAAACACGAAAAATGCTCGTGTCACCTGTCACGATAGTACCCGTCGAGAAAGATTTCTTACATGAGAGATCGATAACAATGTCTTTTATGACGCCTTTTCTTCTTATAACAGCTGTTACAATAAATTTTTCTATAAATGGCGTAAATTGATAATATTTATAAAATTTCAAGAGATCATATTTTCATGGATAGTAAAATAAAATAAAATATTTCTTAAATTTTTTACACGAAGAGAATTCTCTCTTAGAATTTACCCTGAAAATCATGGTAATCGTGGGACAATATGGTATTGAAAGAATTTTATGAGTTTCTCTGATTATTTACCGCAATAAAAAATATTAATATGTACATAAATTTTACTATGGACATAACATTCTTCCAATATTCTAGAGTAAATTCTAAGACAAAATTCTCTCTGGATAGAAGTAGTAATGAACATGTGCAAGTTATTCAAAGTATACAAATGAATTGTTTTTTTTTTTTACATATTATATTAATATAATTATTGAGTACCTTTCTTTTTACAGAAAACATTATTTTACTCTGAATAATTCTTTTCAAATCTCAATCCTCGCAGAAAGGAAAGATACCTCTTTTGCTAGCAGTCGAAGCTGGCAATCAGTCCATGTGTCGGGAACTTCTGTCACAGCAAGCGCCTGATCAGCTGAGGGCCACCAATCCGGCAGGTGATTCTGCGTTGCATTTGGCTGCTAGAAGAAGAGACATCGACATGGTGCGGATCCTGGTAGATTACGGCGCGCCTGTCGACATGCAAAATGTATGTTAAATTACGTTAAATATACATTAAAGCACGAAGATCCTAAATGAAACGCAAAATTAAGCCGGTAATCGGTCGTGTCATTTAAACTTTGAAGATTACATAAGTACTTTTAGTACTTCTGAAACTAAGTTTGTAAATTATAGACTGCAACGCAAATTTTTCACCGGTTTTCAACAAGCTATTATATACGCAATATTCTTAACCATTTTCTTTCAACGATATCTCAATTCAGTTGGAGAGAATTACTTCTTCCATTTTGTTTGCATATTATAATAGGCAATTTCAATAATTATATATACGTATAATGTATATAAAATATTTTTTTATTGTCTAAAATTGATAAAGTCAACAGAAATTTGATGCAAGATTTACGAGTAAGTTTACAAGGAGGCCAAGTTAAACACAAAGCATCAAGTATATACAACTATCAATATCTATTCTAACTTAAGCTTAACGCTACATGCAAATTGAGTACAAAACTTGGCGAGATCGATCATACATGATATAGAAATGACTTACAAATTGTTACAAACATCGTTAGACAGAACAGCGAGATTATGTATCTACATAATTGAGAACAAAACAATTTCGTAAAATTAACGAAAGAATTCTAAAGGTTTTTTTTTTACCGTAACAGCATTCATTTTACAAAATTATTTTATGATCTTTAACCTTTCCTTTGCTGACGCGTAATAATGTGTTCAGCAATGCAAAGGTCTTAAGGTCTTAATTGTGTTACAAAAAAATTGCGGATACGTGTATGAGGGCATGCATGCGTAATGAGATTAACCGCATTGCGTCGAGCAAGGATAATATCGTAGGCAGGATTATATTTTCAGTCAACGACGATACGTATTAAGAGAAGCTACTGGCATTAGGCGCTCATAGAAACATCGCATTTTTCTTCTTACATATAAAACTGAATGATATTAAAAAGCAAAATAATGCTTAATTATTAAAATAAAAACTAATTATTATTTAGTAACTCATTAAATATTTCTTTTTAATTTATATCAATCCAGTGCAAGGGTGAGGCAAAATTTTTCTAATTTTTTAAATGAAAATAAAGTTTTCATATACAGTCTTCTACAGAATTACGCGTGACGCAATGTTAAATAATGCATGCATAATTCTATTTGAGAAATATCAGCGTGCAGCATTTATTTCAGGGTGATGGACAAACCGCGTTACATATAGCGAGCGCCGAAGGTGACGAAACTTTGGTGAAATATTTTTACGGTGTCAGAGCCTCCGCGTCGATCACCGATCATCAGGATCGAACGCCGATGCACCTGGCCGCTGAGAACGGTCACGCTTCTATCATCGAGCTGCTGGCTGATAAATTCAAAGCGAGTATCTTCGAAAGAACGAAAGACGGTTCGACTCTGATGCATATAGCATCGCTGAACGGACACTCGGAATGTGCCACTATGCTCTTCAAGAAGGGCGTCTACCTGCATATGCCAAACAAACGTGGCGCTAGATCCATTCATACGGCTGCGAGATACGGTCATGTGGGTATTATTAGCACTTTGCTGCAACGTGGAGAGAAGGTAAGTTATGTGTGAAACTGATTTTCTTTTGAATACATATCATTTGTATAATCTAACATATTTACTATTATAATGTTAGAATTTAATTAGATGAGAATATTCATTCCAAATGATTACATTTTTCATTTTTTTTTTTTTTTCGCTAAACAGGTGGACGCGGTAACTAACGATAATTATACGGCGCTCCATATAGCCGTGGAAAGTGCCAAACCGGCTGTCGTGGAAACACTTTTAGGATACGGTGCTGAAGTACACGTAAGGGGTGGAAAACTTCGAGAAACTCCGCTTCACATAGCCGCCAGGGTGCTAGACGGTGACAGATGTGCTCTGATGCTACTGAAATCCGGAGCAGGACCTAATTTGACAACTGACGACGGTCAAACACCTGTCCACGTAGCAGCCAGTTATGGAAATTTAGCGACGCTTCTTCTGCTTCTCGACGATGGCGGGGATCCGATGTTTAAGTCGAAAGTACGTCGACCAAACAAGAATTAAGATCTCTAATTTCAAAATACATTTGTTTTACGCTGATATGTTGCGATAATTAAACAGTTGAATAATTTATACTATTCTTTACTCATTTTCAGAAATATCTTTCAATATCAAACTGTTAAATAACTTATTATATTTCGAGATTTTTATTTTTCTCGCAGAACGGAGAGACGCCCTTGCATTTAGCCTGCAGGGGTTGCCGAGCGGATGTGGTTCGGCACTTGATAGAATTTGTAAGAGACACGAAGGGTCCGGACGTGGCGACCGCTTACGTTAACAGTCTAACTAACGACGGTGCCAGCGCTCTTCATTACGCCGCTCAAGTCGAACCTTCGGAGGTCATAATCCCCGGTGATGATCGCGCCGTCGTACGCGCCCTTCTCGACAGTAATGCGGACGTCTCGCTGCAGACCAAACAAGCTCAGGAAACGGCATTCCATCATTGCGCTCTCGCGGGTAACAACGAGGTTCTGGAGGAGATGATCAGCCGGATGTCGGCCACGGAAGTGCAAAAGGCCTTGAACCGGCAGAACGCCGTGGGTTGGACGCCGTTGCTGATCGCCTCCAATCGAGGCCATATGGAACTGGTGACGACTCTTCTCGCCAATCACGGCAGAGTCGACGTGTTCGATCTCGAGGGTAGATCCGCTTTGCATTTAGCCGCCGAGCACGGCTACTTGCAAGTGTGCGACGCGTTATTGGCAAACAAAGCTTTCATAAATTCCAAGTCTCGCGTAGGAAGAACCGCCCTGCATCTGGCTGCCATGAACGGTTACACGCATCTCGTTCGTTTTCTCATCCAAGATCACGGCGCAGCGATAGACGTGCTCACCCTCAGGAAACAGACTCCTCTGCATCTGGCGGCGGGAGCCGGTCAGCTGGAGGTCTGCAAACTTTTATTGGAACTCGGTGCCAACATAGACGCCACGGACGATCAGGGACAGAAGCCGATCCACGCCGCCGCTATGAACAACTTTGCCGAAGTGGTGCAGCTTTTTTTACAGAGACATCCTAGTCTCGTGATGGCCTGCACCAAAGACGGGAACACTTGCGCCCACATCGCCGCGATGCAAGGCAGCGTTCGAGTGATCGAGGAATTGATGAAGTTCGATAGACAGGGCGTGATTACTGCCAGAAATAAATTGACGGACGCGACACCGTTGCAGCTGGCAGCGGAAGGTGGACATGCCGAGGTGGTGAAGGTTTTAGTTAGAGCCGGAGCGTCCTGCTCCGACGAGAATCGCGCGGGTTTCACCGCGGTTCATCTGGCGGCTGAATACGGTCACGGCCAGGTACTCGAGGTGATGAGGTCATCTCAATCTCTTAGGATAGTTAGCAAGAAGCTCGGCGTCACGGCGCTTCACGTTGCTGCTTACTTTGGGCAAGCTGGTGAGCAAAAATAAGACACTAATAATATCACGCTTATCTATAGTTACTACATTAACAATGTTAACTACATTATTAATATATCAATTAATATTAGACGACAAATTAAGTTATTATTAAATCACATTAATTATATTTAATTGAAATAATAATACTTTGTGCAAATTTTTCACACGTTTTTATAAAATCAAATCATTAACAGATATCTATTCTTAATTGATTCTAGATACGGTTAGAGAATTACTGACTCATATACCTGGAACTGTAAAATCTGATCCACCAACCGGAGGCTCTCTGGTAGGAGAATTGGGAGCAGAATCTGGCATGACTCCTCTTCATCTCGCTGCTTATTCTGGAAACGAGAACGTCGTGCGACTTCTTCTTAATTCTGCCGGAGTTCAGGTAATTCGGTAAAACTTTCAATCAATCATGAATAATTATCATTTATGTTTTATAGAAATTTAATTGCTTAATTTTATAATTAAATTTGTATGCCATCACTGTCAGATACAAAATTTTGTCAAAGTATCCAAATGATATATATTCCAACATGAAGTTCACATATCTATATATTCAACTGCTATTTTTTATTCGGATCTGTGCAAATAAAAATTAATTTTAAAATTAAGAAAATTAAACTTACATGAGCTTTAAAAACTTGCAGGTAGACGCAGCGACGACGGAAAACGGATGGAACCCCTTGCATCTGGCCTGTTTCGGCGGTCACATAACTGTCGTGGGCCTATTGTTAAGCAGATCGGCGGAATTGCTGCACAGCGCGGATCGTTACGGCAAAACGGGATTACACATTGCGGCGACCCACGGTCATTATCAAATGGTGGAGGTTCTCTTGGGCCAGGGAGCGGAAATAAACGCGACCGACAAGAACGGCTGGACGGCGCTACATTGCGCAGCACGCGCCGGTCATCTGGACGTCGTCAAGTTGCTAGTGGAAAGCGGTGCATCCCCGAAGACCGAAACGAATCTTGGCTGCGCGCCGATTTGGTTCGCAGCATCCGAGGGTCACAACGATGTGCTCAAGTATCTCATGGAGAAAGAACACGATACGTACGCCCTGATGGATGATAAAAGGGTAAGATATTGGTAATCAATCAGAATAATTCGGAAACTCTGAAAAAAAGAAATTTCTCAAACATCAGAATTTCTGAATTTGGAAATTTTCTTGAATAGTTATGAATTTTATATCTTTGTTAATGATTTGTTATATTAAATAATAATTTTAATTATTGTATAAAATTATTTAAATTTAAAAAATTTTTATGTTAATGAAAAGCTTTTGAATATCATAATATAATTGAAAAAACGTTCTGGATATCACGATTTCATTAAGAAACAATCAATAATGTGGCTTTTTGTCATCGTAAATTCAGTATCAATTATGTGGTAGAATTATTAAGAGTTAGAGGTTTTTAAAATCCTCAAAACATGTAATAACATTTCGTGGAATCAAAAGATGTACAATATTTAGAAAGTTTACTAATTTTCTCAGACAAAGTCGGCAAATCGAACTAATAAATTTTCTTTAATGTTAGGTACGCACGCGAGGTGTAGTTATACCGGTTTCGTGATCGAAAATTTATTGATAATATACGCGTTCAGCTTAAATAATTTTAAAACAAGTATCACTATCGCATAATATTCTGCAGTTGTATCGTTGCAAAAAACTTTACCAATACGATAAATCAAGCTTCATAGTAATTAGAGAAAGGACTGCGAATTAAAGACTAGAATTATCACATCCATAAAACATGATGTCTATCTAAATTTATTGATCGCAATTTAAAATGGAACAGAAAATCTGATGATTCAATTGTAAGATAATGTAAACCATTTAGAATGTCGTGATGTAATTATAACGTAATTAAAAAATAATAATAATAATAATTTGAAGTTATATAATAATCTAATATAAAAAATAATAATATTAATATATAAATTATATATAAATAATAATATTATATATAAATAATTATATATAAATTATATATAAATAATAATATTGAACAATATAAAATATTTGGATATAAATAAAATATATGATAAAAAATTCCTTATTTTATCAATTAATAATTATGATATGATATCAAGAACATAGACTGCAGAAACCTTTTCTTCTTTCGTTCAAACCAATTTTTTAATTCGAACAAACTGTTGTATTTACAGTTTGTCTACAACATGATGGTCTGCAGTAAGAGCCACAACAATAAGCCGATAGAAGAATTTGTTTTGGTATCGCCGGCACCAGTGGACACCGCGGCCAAATTGTCCAATATTTATATGAAGCTCTCCGAGAAGGAGAAGGAACGCGCCAAGGATCTGATCGCAGCTGGGAAACAGTGCGAGGCGATGGCGACCGAGTTGCTTGCTTTGGCAGCGGGTGCCGATTCAGCCGGGAGGATCTTGACATCGATGGATCGCCGAAACGTCGAGTTCCTGGATGTGCTGATCGAGAACGAACAGAAGGAGGTAATCGCGCACACGGTGGTGCAACGTTACCTGCAGGAACTTTGGCAGGGTAGCTTGAATTGGAACGCCTTCCGGACGATGCTGCTATTCATCGCCTTCATCATCTGCCCGCCCGTCTGGGTAGTGTTCGCTCTTCCGCTCGGACACAAGTACAATAACGTGCCCATCATCAAGTTCATGTCTTATCTCACGTCCCACATCTATCTGATGATTCTTCTACTGCTGGTCGGCATCACGCCGATTTATCCAGTTGTGGTGAGGGTGAACCTGATACCATACTGGTACGAGTGGTGTCTGCTGGTGATGCTATCAGGCCTGTTGCTGTTCGAATTAACGAATCCTAGCGACAAGAGCGGTTTGGGCTGGATCAAACTGGCAGTATTGCTCTTCGGTATATTCGGCGTGGCCTTTCACCTGATGGGATTCGTATTCATCGAGAAACTGTACTGGCCAACCCTGCTCTACCTGAGAAACCAGCTTTTTGCCCTCAGTTTCCTTTTAGCTTGCGTGCAGATATTGGACTTTCTGTCGTTCCATCACTTGTTCGGACCCTGGGCGATCATTATTGGTAATCTTATGAAGGATCTCGCGAGGTTTCTCGCGGTGTTGGCCATCTTCGTCTTCGGCTTCTCCATGCACTTCGTCGCGCTCAATCAGGCATTCAAGAACTATCAGTCGCCGCAGGAGGCGCGCGCGGAAGAAAGAAAACCGAAGAAGGCGTTCCACGATGGTAAGTTCGAGATTCTTTCTATGTTTTCCCTTCTTCAATCGATCTCTTGTTTTACTGTATAATTTGACGCCAATCCAGAGCCAGTGGCGCAATTAATTGATTTTTTACAGCTCCCTCCATCTATAAAAGATATACCATATATATATACATAAATGCGCGCACATATACATATATACTGTAGATACTATAGATACATTATGTAGATATATTTACGTAGGGTTAGATCTTAGATTGGCAATCGCTTCGACGCGGTATACTGGTTCTATGAACAGGATGTAGACAGTGCTTTCGCCCACGCAGGTGCTAATTTCGCGTGGGTATAAATAACGACACAGTTCCCTTTATATAGATCTTTCGTATAAATTGGTAAAACCGCGTTCCTTTCACATTTCCATTGTCAGTTTATATATAGTTTTATATCGAATTATAAAACTGTATATAATTTCAATGAATATAGATTTCGATCTTACAAATGCATGTAACGTTGAAATCTAAAGTGAAATTTTGCAGGTTTTGGTGACTAGTTTATATATCGTACAGCTTGTGAAGCAAGAATGTACTTTCCTTGCCTCCCCAAAAAATTCCTCATCTTTCCGCTAAATTTACTCCCGTCTCAAAAAATATCATTATAATGCTGTGGTCAATTCGCGCGATAGATATATTTTTTATAATTATTATTTCTCGAGATTCCAAAGCAAGAAAGTCTGCTTTATATCGATCATACTCAGAGACATGCGGAACGATACGAAACCATAATCGAATGAATTACAATGATAGATGTGTTGGCCAATGTTACGGAATGGATGATGGAGACGCCACCAACGGCGCCTCCTCGTCGCTTCGGCCGCTACAAGAAAAAAGAGTGTTGTGACGATAACGACAGAGATAGTAAGTTTTGCTGGTTGAGAAAAGATTAATCAGAAGCAACCGCGCGGAAAGCGAACTAAACAACAATCGCACACGCGAAACTGAATGCAGGACACGATCCATCTCGGTGTCGTCTCGTCTGCATCGTGCATTTGGCCAGTGTGTGTGCGTGTGTATGTTGTCTGCTGAGACTGCTGCCTGATATGATGAAAAAAAAAAAAGAACAAAACAAAAAGAGAAGACAGAAAAGATATTCGCAACGAAAAGCATTCCTCGTTCGATTCATTTCGTATGCTGCGATTCGGAAGCGACACTATGAAGAGAGAAAATAATCAATGAAGTTCGTTAATATCTAATTACACATCAAACACACACATATATATATATATATCAAATATAATATTGCAAAAATTACAATAATTATTTAAATTAAACTGTAAAATTAAATTTGTTTGACATTTTTAAAAAATATTCTTGATTAAGATCTGAACTACGTGACTGCGTCGCAGCGTAACGAATGAATATCTTACATTGATCTCAGACGAAGTTCTGTCTATGCAATTGATTAGATATCGATTAGTATTATTGGTCGGAGCATATGTGCTCGTGTTTTCTTTCACAGCCTCTGTTCGTGTGCATCCCCATGTCTCGCTGTACGTATATGTTTATATATGTATATGTACATACATGAACGCACACATTTGTGTACCTGTACGTGTGTGTGTTTCTATGTATCTGTATATTTTACCTGTATTTATTTAGTAGGTTTTTAGAACCGTTCTATGCTAGTGAACGCCGATGTTGTCTCAATTCATGAATGATGTGCATCAATCGCACGCGCTCGTTTTATGTGTGACTTTTCAAGATCGATCTTTACGAATTTCATCCATTCCACAAAGAATTATCTATATTCGCGTTTCTTTTCTATTTTTTTTTTTTTTTCAAACCAGATCGTTACAAGGTAGCTTGTCCTTTCGGGCAAGAAAAGATCTTTCCATCCCTCTCCCGTGTCCTTGCATGCAAGCAACATTTCTACGCGATATACATCGCGTCCGCCTTTGAAGATTCGCGTAAGCCAGACATGCAAGGGGGAGGCGTGCATCCCCAAGCTGCATGCCGCATCTTTTTTTATCCATTACAAACATATGTGCGGTACGTTTTGAAATCTCCACCCCCTCTCTCATTCAGCACAATATATACGCACGATTGTACGATAAAACCGATCGTTCGACCACTGGCTGCCTCGAGAAAGAAACGCATCGATAAACGAAATGCATCTCTCTCTTTCTCTCTCTCTTCATAAATTTAACAAGACTCCGGATCCGTCGTGCATACAAAATTTCACGAGTAGTCTTTCAGAGGCGACTAATAGAAAAGAAAAAAAAACACAGAAATATGAGTTACGCGAAAGCGATTACATCCGAATCGGATGTAAAAGCAAGGCGAATTAAAGAGCGACGAGGTTTGAAAGATCCAAGTGGCAGTACGTACTCGACGATGAACGCAATCTGCAATGAGAAATTGTTCATGGCATGCATCCGGCGCTGCATTAGTCCGCAGCTGCAGCTGCAGAGCATGGCCAGAGTTTATATAAAAAGATGCATGAGCATGTTCGTTCCTCCGTTTGCTCGTTTGTTCGCTCGCTCGCTCGCTCGATCGATCGTTCGTTATTATATACGTTATGGAAACCTTCACACGTGTGCATTATCATATATTATAAAATAGCGAGTACCCACCAGTAGTAGCCAGAATCTGTAATGGCACGAATGGCAAAATGAGCTAAAAAAGAGAAAGGAAGAGCTCTTAGAGCTAGCAAGAAACATCTTGTGTGTGTTGTGTGTGCCTCGTAATTCCAGTAAAGATGAATCCAATACTCGCCTTCGAGTATCTGTTCTTCGCCGTCTTTGGACAAACGACCCACGGCGAGCTAAAGGTCGAGCACAATCAGCCGCAGTGGACCTCGGTCCTCTTCAAGTTGACCTTTGGCGTGTACATGTTGGTCTCAGTAGTGGTGTTGATTAATCTGCTGATCGCCATGATGAGCGACACGTATCAGCGGATTCAGGCGCAGTCGGACATTGAGTGGAAATATGGACTCAGTAAACTGATCCGTAACATGCACAGGTAAGCCCCGCGCGATCTTTTAAGAACCCGAATATAAGCAGGCGCGCGAGATAAGCATATATGGACATATAACTGGGCGCTGATAAAAATAGCATATCGAATTATCTCTCTTATCCCAGTTAAAAATTAAGTATAACGTTATCTCTCGCGACTCTCGCATTTCTCATTCGCGCGTCTGACCAAGATACTAAGAGTCCTTCGTCTTTACATAATGTACAGTATACAAGTTTCGTACAGTCTCGACCCTTAAGTAGCTCGCTGTTAAGCATACGGGGTTAACGGAGCACTCCGTGTAGGAAACGCGATTGCGTGTTGCAGAACTACCACAGCTCCGTCCCCGTTAAACTTGCTCACCACCTGGATGGTGTACTTCATCAAGCTATGCAAGCAACGCAAGGCTAAACGCAAACGACCGTCGTTGGTGCACATGATGGGGCTGCAACACGCCAGCCGTTTATCGCCCAGATCGAAGATGGGCGCAAAGTGGTTGGCGAAAGTTAAGAAAGGTCAGGTCCGTCCGAAGGACAGCGTGACCCTCTCCGTGATGCACCTCAGCCCGCTAGGTAGCCAGCTGTCTTTCAACACGGCGACCAGAATAGAAAACGTGGTGGACTGGGACTCGATCAGGAAGAAGTATCTCGCCCTGACTGGCAACGAGCCCGAGAAGGACGATGGGGAGAAGGAAGAGAAGACCGACGAGGACGAGAACGAGGACGAGAGAGGGCAAACGGCTTCCAACGCCTCGACGATACCGGCGACGACGGTTCCGAATCCGCCTGTGTAAAGATTGCCGTCTACGTCGAGGATGCTGAACGCGAGTCTGCGTGAAAAGATAAAAGAAACGCAGCAGCGCGAGCAAACGAGCGATCAGATACTGAAGTCGCAAGAGCGCGTTCCGCTATATTATGTATACTAAACAGACAGACTTAGAAATACAAAGTGCGCTGTAAAGAAGATACCCTCCACACTCAGGTCACGAACAGTTTTTTTACGTAAAATCGTAAATCGCAGACACGAAATCCCCGACGATCGAGCGAGACCATAAAGGATCGATCTTTGCGCGACCACCGGCCTAGCATTTTAAAAACATCTGAGTAAGTAAATTCCCGACGTGATTCGTGAAATCTCGTAGGAACGCATATGTATAATTGATGTTGTTTGTCAGATATGAACCAATTTTGTCGACACGTCATATCCTTCTCCGTCACACGGCATGACCGAATGATGCCTGCGAATGTCAAATCCCCGCCATATCCGCTCGTTCGATACTTCATTAAATGTTGGATTATTCATTCGCGACACCATAATTTTTCTAGCGTACCTTGTAGGATGCAGAATCTCGATCGACTCGTTGCGGTATAATTTTTTTTCAGAGCCTATTCGTAAACATTAATTTGAGTCAAAAAGAAAAATTTATTTGTTTTCTGTAGAAACAAATGGAAAGGATATTTGAGAAAGTTAAAACTACATTGTTAACTTTAATTAATGTTTACGCAGATAGTTCACATAATATTAAAACATTATTGATAACACGTTTTTTAAAAGCGCATTATTTAAAGGTACCTCAATTTTAAGATGTTTTTTGCATATCTAGGACAATTGCACGTAACATATAACGTCACAATCTCCTAGTTCCTCTTATGTCTCATGCGCTTAAATTAGAAACCGTCTCGTTAGAAAAAAATGCGTTTTTCGTAGGTCGCTTGAACCTTTTCTGACGACAGAATCAAAGAGTTCATGCGAATTACAGCAAGCATATATCTTGTATGGCTTGAAGTCGATTTATTTCGCGACGTTTTTGAAGTAGTAGCAACGTTAGCATGTATCTAAACAGTGGAAGAGAACTTTGCAAACGTTCACGCGCATTTACACGAGGCATATTTTACGAGACACGTTATTAACCCGTATTTACAGTCAGGATAAGTCCCATATACGTGGTCGAGTTGTTGTTCTTCGCCATCTTCGGTCAAACGACACACGAACAATTCAAGGAAGAAATGAACCAGCCCGATTGGACGAGGGTCCTCTTCAAGCTCGCCTTCGGCATTTACATGTTGGTGTCGGTGGTGGTGCTTATTAATCTCTTAATCGCTATGATGAGCGATACCTATCAACGGATACAAGCTCAGTCGGATATCGAATGGAAGTACGGATTGAGCAAGCTTGTTCGAAACATGGTAAGGTAAGAAGAAAAAACAATTTTATAGAGGAAAAATGATGGTAAAGAAGAAAGGAACGATTCGTTGCACGTCATCTGCCGCACTAATCACTAATCGATCCGTATTTGATATGTAACAGGACCACCACGGCACCGTCTCCGCTGAACCTCCTGTCTACATGGATCACGTACTTGTGCAAGCTCTGCAAGAAACGTTTCTCCAAGAAATCGACACGACCCTCTCTGATGCACCTGATGACCGGCCATCGCATGTCACCTCGTTCTAAAATGGGGGCAAAATGGTTGTCGAAAGTGAAGGGCAGACAGATAGGACACAAGGACAGTGTCGCCTTATCGGTCACTCATCTGAGTCCACTCGGCAGCCAATTGTCCTTCGGTAACACCGTCAAGATCGACAATGTTGTCGACTGGGACGTCGTCAGACGCAAATACAGGGATCTCTACGGCGAGGAGGTCGAGGAAAAGCCGGTCGAAGAGAACAAGGAGTCGACGGAGAATCCGCTGGCGGCCTTGGAAGGATCAAACGACAATGACAGATCAAAGCTGCTTGGTGCTTGAACGTCGAAAGAAAACGCCGCAGAAGGAGATATATATCTAGCTTCTGCGGTAGAAAGAGAAAAGGATTTTCGCTTTTGCGAATCCACCGCTTTAAATGCGCTGCCAAATCGCATGCATCAACTTGTACATATCACCGTATCGCGTATAATCACGTGAAGGCCTTTGTCAATATACCTTTGAAATAAAACGCCTAGTTCGATCTCGTCTCGCTTGTACAGTTATTATTAATTAGCGAACCCGCTCCTTGTGATCCATAGTCTAATCGATTGCCTGTACCACGTTTTAGAGACTACCATGGGGAATACCCGTGTGCATAGGGATCGTTCCACGTCACGTTTGATGGTTAGTCTCTCTCTCTCTCTCTCTCTCTCTCTCATTAACATTATTAATTACAAATCTTTCTCCCACCTGGAATGTTTTATCGATTATGTACATATGTATTTTTATATATAAATATAGCGCAATATATTTACGTAATGATTCTCTTGCAATGCGATGCACGCACCGATCATTATATGCCTGCATCATATTGCTCACGATATTTTCGCGTAATATATACATGTTATATATATCAACGCGCTCGGTACACATATCTATAGAATGTGTATCCCATACATATAAGGAAACTGCGAAGTCGCGATATCACTTACTGTTAGAACTGCCTTCGAAGCTCACATCATTATATACATACACATAAACTTGACGTATAGCATGTATATTCGCTGATACATACGTTGATTGGGAAGTTGAACAAAGTTGTATGGTGCCTACTGGATTCACCTTTCGATCATATGCACATTGTAAAGTTCAGCCAGCACGCATCATCAAAAGTATATCCTGTAAAAAATAGTTGAATTAAAATGAATTCTCGAAGGGATTCATTTCTGTACCTAATGAATACGTAATCTTTCGAATCAAATTTTACTTTAGAAATCTTTAATTTGTTTTTAATCTCTTTCTATTTGCATTCAAATCATTTTAGATATGAACGTTTGAAATAAAGAAATTAAATATTCTATTTATTTTTAGCTATGTAAAAGTTGATTTCCTTTGAAATTTTCATTATCGAATATCATAAAAATAAAATGAGAAAGAAGATTTATAGAAAGAAAAAAAAAGAAAATTACAGAATTCTGGAACTCACACAATTCACGATTTTTATATGGTAAATTAAAATTTTTTAATATATTTAATATTGCAGAAAAAAATTTCTTTGCTGATTCTTTTTAATTTCTCTATTTGCGCAGGGTGCATATAAAATAAGCGAATTTCAAAATGCAGTTCTCATGTTGCAAGCCGACTTCATCGCATCCATCTTCCATTTGCGTTTAAAAACTTTTCTCATCAATGTGTCAAATATGAACATCTTCGCAATTTACTACTCATTGTCAGTGTTTATACTGTCATCGAAATCTATATTGTGCTGATCATCTCATCGCATGTTTTAAATTTTATAAAGTTCGCTGATTTTTTCTGATTAATCAATTTTATTTAAAAAAAACTGAATAACACAGTTGACTATCGTCAGCATGAATTTTTACAGAATTTAATAGCCTAAAAACTGTAAATACATATATATATATATATTTATTATACGATTTTTCTGCTTATAACCAGAATGAAGCGACGAATAGATAATAGTAACACCTGATTTTTATTTCGTATCAGAACAGTGCGAAATTTGCAATTATAAATGCAATATAGCTATACTACTGAGAAGCTACTAGTTATAAACACATACCAAATTCAATTGTATTATACCACTATATTAGCTTAGGAATCTATCTACGATTTTTAATAATGTAAGCTCCATATAACAAGTAAGCTTAATTTATCATTGATCATAATGACTCATTTAATTTATTGATCTTTTCCTCTGTTTGCACAGTGCAAGTTAGTGCGATCGATATCACGGAGAATCTTTTCTTCGCTATTTTTGGCAAAAAAGACACTGATGACTTTGCAATTACGTATAAAAAAAATCAGCAACCAAAGTGGACGGTTTATTTTTTCAAGGTGAGAAATCAATATTACATTATACATTATCTGCCAACAAATTTATGTACCTATATGTAACAAATAATTATTTTCGTTTTTACAGGTCTCATTCTCTTTATACATGCTCGTCAGCGTCATAGTATTGATTAATTTATTAATTGCCATGATGAGCGATACGTATCACAAAGTAATATCACAGAGTGATATTGAATGGAAGTATGGTCTTAGCAAACTAGTACGTAAGATGCAAAAGTAAGTTTCTACATTTTCAGAATTTTCTTTCTCTCTAAATAAAAATTTAGATTTTGTTATTTTTAATTATATGGCAGTAATTAAATTATCCTCTCTCCTTTAATTTTGATCGTCGCGTAACTCTTTAATCAGAGGAAAAAATCCATAGAAAATTTAAAGTGTATAATTTTTGAATTTTAATTATATTTTAATTTAATCTTTTATTTTCGCCGTGAATTTGGAAATCTTTATTAAGTAATATTGTCGTATCGATCTTGTTTTTTCAAGAACGAGAACTGCGCCAGCCCCGTTAAATCTCATTACCACGTGGGTCGAATACTTGAAAAGTGTTTATATGAGGAGACGAATTGCAAAGAAAAAGATTGGTAGATCTCGTGGATATATGGAACCAGACATGCATCAAAGTGACTTTTCGAAATATCCACTTTCCACTGTATGTAGATATTGTCGTACTTAATTTAATTCATAATCATTGGATTTTGAAATTTCCATTTTTGTCTTTGCTTTATTGTTTACATGTAGACATGTTATAAGATAATAATTTATTAATTAATGTATTTATGGATATCCATTATACATTCCAAAGTTTTATATATTACTTCCAGTCATCTTTGATGATGTGCAATTTACTAAATAATTTCAGGCACTTAATTTATCTATGTTTTCTTGTTTTTTTTTTAGAATAATAGAATACTTCCATTACCACGAACAAAGGACAGCGTTAATTTTGCATTACTTCAATCGAGTCCAGCTAACAGTCAAAGTTCCTTGAGTAATATTTCGAGAATAGACACCGTCGTCGACTGGGATACAGTTCGTCGAAAGTATCGCATGCAGTTTTGCGGTGAAATGGAGAAACCGTCCGATGGAGTTGCAAAGCTTGCTGGAATGGCTTAAACAATAAAATCTAATATGCAATATATATGTGCAACTTTCAATAGATATCGTTTTTTTATTATGTTTTTTTTTATTACGATTCTATTTTATATCGCAATGCGTATTTGTGCATTAGATATACATATTATATCATATAAGTAGAATACTTTCTATACTCTTTTATACGTTCTTCTGCGATATTGCTATATAATTATAATAAAATACATATACATATATATGTGTAATAAGTAAACATGCAATGTTACAAGTTATCTCTAAACATTTCCGACACCTTCATTTTATATCTCGCCTTTTCCAAACGGCGGTTCTGCGTTCGTTTCCAGATAATAAGTACCTCGAGCATCGGTACTGATAAATTCACCCATCAAAGCGGTATTATTGCTGCATTTACCAAACTGAAAATCTATCCAGTTTGAGCATTGTACAGAGATAAAGCCTTCAGGATGTACGATGGACTCTGCGAAAAATTGATGCGATCTAGCATGACTACAGTATTCTGAAAATGCAAATTGGATCAGTTCTATGGCACATTGTAAGCTTCAAATATAAGCTGCGAATCTGTTATACGATATCGTACGGGCTGAAAGTATTGGACATCCGGGTTGCCTGAATGTTCCGCCATTTGGATAAAAATCTGCGTCGCCAATAGGTCTAAGGATTCCCAGACTACCAGCACAAGTGTGTATAACATCGACGAAATTGGCATCTGCAGAATCCAGTCGCTCTTCTGTATCTTTTAGATAAGGTGTCTCGAATGCTGGTCCAGCCGGATCAAGCCCGGTGATTCGACCGAGTTTTCCCGATAAATAATTACCAATATATCCAGCTACGTGGGCGCCTAAACTATGACCCAGTATATGGACATCATCGTAAGAGACTTGAGCCTCTGATCGAAGAAATTGTATAAATGCAGCCACGTATTCTCCTATCTGTGAACATAAATTTTTGTATGTATATATATGTCTGTAATTTCTTCGAAAAAGTAAATTCTTAATTGATATACATATTTTGCAATTATATATAATATTTTTAAAATTGTAATTTCGAAAATTAGAATTTATTTTTAAAAATTTATTAATTATTTTTCTTTCATATATGAAAAAATACTATCGTTTACCTGACGAATAAGTCTGACGGATGTTAGATATTCTTTGGTTGAACCGGCGGACCAATTCACGCAGATTACGTTGTAATCTCCAACACTAAGATAATTTCGTCGGATGTTATGTAACCAGAAAGCATTTCCATTCTCTGTCCATCCGTGAACGATGATCTTGGTTGGCCATGTAGAATTTAATGGTGAATTCTTTAGTTGTACGATATCGCCCACTTGTAGAGGAACAGATTGCTCTTTATTATCCTTAGTGTAAAGCTCATAATTCATATCTTCCGCTTTCAAATCTGAATCGATGATATTACCGATCACCGTGTGATCGTTTGAAATAACCGATGTCGGGTTCAGAAAAATATCCAGAATACTTTCTTCAGGATGGAAAACTGGGAAGTTTTGAATTGGTGATTGATGACCCGGTAAATCAGCTGTATTAAGAGGTACATCTAAAAACATCAATGAATAATGAAAATATGAATAGCACTTTCACCTTTATTTGTAACTAAATCAATTGTATTTTCGATTACAAAATTGAAATCAGATATAAAAATCGGATTACTTAGGAATAAAGTTATGAAGAACGTTGCAATAAGAAACATTTTAACATTTTTGACATTATTGCGTCGCGAAGTTTTTCTTATATACCTCGATGTTACATCAGTGGAAATCTTTTTATATTGCTCGATCCATTATATCTTATTACCAACTCCGAATAAGAAATACATAATGAGGATTGCTCCACGAACTTCCGGCATTTATTTACTCTACATACATAGATATATTGAAATAGTGTGTATCATACATAGAGATTGATATAGTTCCATATACTATCTTACGTTTTAACATCGAATAATATAAACAATTATATTTTCACACAAAAAGTACTTTATTAATAATTATAAAAAGAATACAAAATCATGTACAAATGTCGCATTTTAAATCATATTTTAACTATCTTATGATATATTTTTTAATACTACAGATTTGTACTAAATTTTCTTTGATGAAATGAAACTTCTATCCTATGTCATAGAAACATCTCTTAAATGATGCAAGTGTAATATTGCATGCATAATGTTCATTTCATTTTCAATTTTGTTTATTTTATAAAAAGTAATATTTAATACAAAATCTTAAATTCTATTTTTGTGTGTAAAAAAATTTAATTATTATATTTTTCCTTTGGCATAGAGATTTTATAAGTGAAATAATAGTAAAGTAAAATCAAGTTAATTGTATTATTAAGGATACAAAATATTAAAAATACTAGGAACTTTCTTATAAAGAGACTTATTTATCTTGCATAAATTATTCTGTAAATTTTTCCAATAACTTTCTGTATTCATCAAAAACTTGAGCATTGCAAGAGAGAAAGAGATATGTTGACCAAATAATCAAGTAAAATTCAAAATCGCTCAAAAAATCTTATAATAGTCTAATATAGTATTTGAAATTCCATGATGTTGCAATTTGAATAAACAAGAACTTATTTTATGTTACTCTTTTGAACGTACATAATTTCTTTGCCATATCTTGAAGATGTAACAATATTCAATCCTGATACAGCAATTTCATCTTGTATGATTTGGTACTCTTCTTCTGTAAGACCTTCAGGAAGAGCTTGTCTTGTTACATCTTTACTAGTGCTAACGGATTCACATAAATCTTTAATGATTTTTCGAAGTTCATTAGTTTTTATTTGTTTATTTGCTTGTTCTTCTCCAAACTTGAAGCAGTTCTTCCACAAGCGTTTCTCGATTTCCAGATATTCACGCTGTTTCACATTCGTCTATTTGTAAAAAGATATCAATAATATCATATATATGTATATTAGTATATTAGAAGAAATATTTTTTTTTTAAATCTCCAACTTACTAGCTGAATTAGTTTTCTAATAGTTTCATTATCCGGCTGCAATGCATAAGCTTTTTGTAACTGTTTCATTGCGTCAGTATAATCTCCAAGACTCAACAAAGCTTTTCCAAAACTAGAAGAAAAAATTACTTTAATTCTAATTTTTATTTAATACATAATTAATCTATAAATGTTGTATCAATATTCATATACTTGTAATAACTTTTAGCTGATGGTATTGGCACTCGTTTACAATAAATGCAGGCAAGACGTGGTAAGTCCAGTTTGTTATAACATATTCCAAGATTAGTAGATGCTTTTGAAAGCAATTCATTCATTTCTTTTTCCTCTGAACTATTTTTTAATTGCACATTTTCTAAGATATCAATAATTTTTTTATATCTGTAAAAAGATCGTACAGGTATAACCATCTTATATATATAATTGCATAAAAATTGTATGATTAATCATTATAAAATAATATAATTATTTACTTATGTATGGCTTGTTTGAAATTATACTTTTCAAAAGTATACTTAGCAGCTGTAAGCATGTGTGTCACAGGTTCTACCACATTTTTAAACAACTGCCTCTCTTCTGCTTTAAGATTTTGATAATTTTCTGCAGAACCATCATCAATATAATTAATTAAATGGACAACAAATACCACTTCCTCATTTGGTGGAATACGTGGCGGACAGCCAAGAGCTTTATAAGCAAGATCAGGATGTATCAAGAATACTGCTATTTCATGTTTCTGCATAGTACTTATGCCGATCTCTAAACCAGGTATAATATAATCTTGGCCTAAACGCAATGTTCTTGGCCTTCCGGAAGAATAAGTTGAGTCAAAAGGTTCATCTCTGTCTTCAAAGTATCCAATATAATGAACGACAATTTGAGCATTACTAGGTACAATCTCTCCAACACCTTTTTTCTTAACAAATTTCATGACCTAACATAATAAAATTTTATAATTAAAATTATGTTTTCAATTTTAGATAAAACTTGTAAAGAAATTTAACTTTTTTGCAAGTTTTACTCAATTTCATTTAATTCTATTGATGATATTCATCTTAATATATTCAAAATATTATATCACTTTTATATCTCTTTGATGAAAAATTTGTAAGTAATATAAAATCTGATTACTTTTTGATTTGTGGTTATACTTGTCATCTTCGCTTTTAACTTCTCAAAACTAATACCGCAAAGGGATACAGTTCCATTTTCATCATCATCATTATCATCATCTTCAAAACCATTCATGTTTAACATATTTAGCATTTCTTCATTGCTGTATTGTACATATGGAGAATATGAAAATTCTTCATCATCCTCATCATTATTATCAATATGATCTTGTCCTATTTCAAAGGTAACTCCATCTTTACTTATCAAATCCCTGGAAACAACAAATATAATCCAAATAAATATAATAATATTGTCTTGCATACATATGTAAATTCATTATAAATTAATTATTCTTCTAATATACTCAAGTCTGAATCCTTCCATCGGATCTGCTATATATTTTGCCATTTTTTCAAAGTTGAGCAACTCTTCTGAACCACAAAGAAATATCCTTTAGCTTGTATTTTTCAGTTCACACTTTTAAAACTTTGGCTTCTGAATCTTTCGTTTTTTGAGAGCACTCTCAAAAAGTATATCTGCACACATACACCTAGCTTACAGATACCTAATGTAACCTAAACCGGAAGTGAACTGTCTCAAAAGTTTACGACAGAGGTCACCACCTTCTTTCCTAATTGGCATGACGTAATATTTGAATTTTTGAATAGATTAATATCTGAGTGCTGAGTGAACGCACTTTCTTTTTTAATAGTGCACCGATACTGATAATCCACATCGGAACAGGCTTCAAAACACATTTTACGTAAGTGCATTGCATATATTATACACAGAAACATCGTATATGCACTATACATTGTATTGTTGTACGCACAATGGAAAAATTACACTGTGAGAAAGTTTAGTATTCACGGTTAAATAACTTTCTCCAAATTTAATTGTCTTTCAATATCACAGACACAACACATATATACGCAATATAAAGGGAAATTTAAAGAAATAATTGATACATAGCATATGTGGTTTTACTTTCAAATATAATAAATAATAAGAATTTATATATACAATACGTATATTACATTATAATTATATAATATTATGCATAAAGTTTAGAATTAATTATAATTAATTAATATAAACAGAATATCACACACACACACACACACACACACACACACACACATATATATATATATATATATATATATATATATATATATACTACAAACTATATAAAATATATACCAAACGTTCTTAAGTATATATATGTTTGATTATATAATATATATTTATACTATCAAAAACATTTTTTCATCATAATTATATAATTATTTTATTATTAATTAATTTATTATTAATTAAAGGGAAATTGAAGGAAATAATTGATATGTATGTAGAGTATATATGTTTTTACTTTCAAAAAATAAAAATAATAGGAATTTATATACAATACATTACGTTATATAATTAATATTCTGCATAAATTAATTATAATTAATATAAATAGAATATCATAAAATTACTACAATATACAAAACGTTCTTAAGTATATATCATTACATAATATTTATATTATCAAAACTTTTTTTCATCATAATTATAATTATTTTATCATTAATTATTATACATGTAACTAATTTTTCGTTTAAGTCCGGGAAAATTTTTTTATATATAACAATATAAAATCATATAGAAACAAAATTATACATACAATCGCAAAATTATATATAAATATGTTTATATAATTATTATGATAAGCGTGCTCTTTATATATAATTATATAAATTTATATATATATATATATATATATATATATATTCTTTATATATATAAATATATACATATGTTTCATATATAATTTGACATGATTATATATGAATCCTTATAATTTATATAATTATGTATAAAAATAGACATATTTTTCATATATATTTATGCATAATTACATAATTATAGAATTATATATAAAAAATTTTTTCCCGGGAAAATAATTGCATTCTAGAATATTCTAGATTCTAGATCATCACATAAATGTCAAATAAAATAATATAAGTACTTAAATAATCATTTCTTTTTCGAATTGTTCACGATACACTATTTTCACCATTTGAATTTTTAATTAATATCGCAGAATTATTATCGATTAGCCATCAAAACAGATATGTAACCAGCTGACGTCTTGATTAACTGAAAACATGATATAATAAATAATACAGTACAGTGATAATAATGATAAATAATTATAAATCAAAAGAAAAAGGAAAATAATTTTTTTTTAATTATCTCCGTTTATAATAATTGCATTTATATATATAGGCACTAAAATTAATTAAAAGAATCTTACGCTGCAAAACATAGACAATGTCATGGGAAACATTCCGCCTGCAGTAATGAGAAGAGGTTTTTCAGAACGAATCATTATCATTAACATGTTCCTGGCTTCATTTGGCTTTAGCAAATACCATGCATAATTGTACGCCGCATAATACACTCCTTCGCCCTTCGAAGTATCAATTCTATAATATTATCATATCGAGATTAATTATTTTTATATTAACAATATATACTTACTTTAGCTATAAGAATCTCCCCGACCACACAGTATAGGCACATGTGAACGAAAATATTAATAGTAACCGAAACAAGCCAACATAATCGCACAAAGGTAATATCACCACCATTTCCGTCAAGCATCTATAAGCATACAGAAACAATTTTATTTCTTAGAATTTACCCTGAAAAATCATAATAATAGTAGGTATAGTAGGTATAGGAACAATTTTATTTCTTAGAATTTACCCTGAAAAATCATGGTAATATTGGAAGAATTTTATAAGAGTTTCTATGATTAATATTTATCATAATATATAAATATTAATATCTATTACAATAAGATATATAAAATATGTTAGATTAATTTTACTATGTACGTATTAATATTTTTTATTACGGTAAATATTAATTTGAGAAACTCTAATAAAAATTCTTTCAATACCATATATTGTCTCTAGATTACCATGATTTTCAGAGTAAATTCTAAGAGAAAGTCCTCTCCCTGCATGCATTAATATATGCACGTGTGATTTCCTACGCAATTATTCGATTCTTTTGTTTGTCTAATTTATTTTAACAATCTAATTAATTTTTTTAATGTATATGTATTATTTGCACAAAGAATTTTGAAATGATCGAGGTCACAAGTCTTTTCACCTCGTCTTCGTTTCCATTGCAACAAAAAATTGTGGACGTTTTATAATACCTTGAAACTACAATTAGTTCTTCTCCCTTTCGGCAACTTACGCAAACTAACAGAAATCCTTGAACGCAAAATATTATAGTGAAAAACACTAACAATGCCAGGAGCATCAAGTTGAACGCGTTGTCGATGACATCAACGGACCTATAAGATATCACATACTGTAACACCGAATTTCAATATAATGAAAGAAATATCTCAAAGACACATGTTTGAGTATAATAAATTGGCATACAAAAAGCGGCTACACAAACGGATGCATTTGACATAATAAAATGCGATATAAAAGTATCGTATACACAAACAAAATAATTTATGTATATATTATTTCTTAATATATAATCTTCAAAATATATGAAATTATCATATATGATTAGATAATAATGTAAAATATTTATACACATTTATTATGACACTATAATTATATAAATAATTCGTATAAATTGAAAATAAGATTGTGGATATAATGAATGAACATATTTGAACTTTTTTTAATCATATACACACAGAGAATTTTCTCTTAAAATTTGCTGAAAATCATGGTAATCGTGGTAAATAATATGGTATTAGAAGAATTTCATAAAAGTTTCTCTGATTAATATTTACCACAATAAAAAATATTGATAATATGTACATAATAAAAATAATCGAACTTTTTTTATATCTTATTGTTATAGTAGATACTAAAATTTTTTATTATAGTAAATATTAATTAGAGAAACTCTTATAAAATTCCTACAATATTATAAAGTTCCACGATTATCATGATTTTTAATGTAAAATCTAATAAAAGAATTCTTTCTATATATACATAAAAATATATTAGAAATATTTCAGCACAATATTTAAATTTTTATACATTTGTAAATGTCTAAATCACATTTATAAACCGAGAAAATTTAAAACAACCTAACGAGACGCAAGTGATCCTCAATATTGAGAGCTATCGCGGCGCTGAAGTTTTTGAATTTCAAATTCAGCATTCGCAATCTAAGAATATCCAGTTGAGCGCAGATATGAAATACAAGCAGCGCCAAGAAGTTATCGACCCCCGTGTAAGAAATCGCGGCCATTAGGATCGCTATTGCTTGAAAAACGTAAATAATTTCGTAATACGGACTGTCCGACATGTCTCGTAAGTAATATGTTTGAAATAGAAACGGTCTTGAACCATCTCCATCTGTGATATTCGTAAGATATCTCATCGAGTATCCAAAGATAGGAAAAATGATGAGAAGGACAACTGCAATAACCATCATAACACATCCGAATATAACGATTGCTCTCGCAACTTTTGCTTGCTTTATCATGGCATTTCGTTCTTGTTCTGTCTTCGTCTTGATCCAATCATTCTTCACCATGTTTATGATCGGTACAAGACCTTCGGAGAAAAAATTTAAAAATTTAATGGATAAAACTGCAATGCTCTTGAGAAATGAATGCAATAAAAATATAGTATACATTAATATTAATGCAGATTTACTTTCTTTGCGTTGCCACAGAAGGCAAAATTTCGTGACAGTGATCGAAAAAGGTAAAGAGATCTGTACATTGTCTGTCATCGCTAGTATGTCGCCCCAGACCTTCACTAATGCGATAATTCCGGGTATAACTGCTGTGATAAACATCGTGACAAAAATAATGCTAGCTCGTAGATTTGCCAAAAATTTTTGTCGTCGAGTTAACTTATCGTCCGGCCAGAGACCGATGATCTTCAGAGAAGCCCGATTTATTCCGATCGCCCAATCTAAATCTAATTCCATTTTATTTCCTCAATTAATCACGTGTTACATGTAATTTTTTAATAATTAATTTTTTTAATGATTATATGCTCGTGTAATTAATTATAATTTTAGTGGAAAAATAGTGAAATTTCACGACTTTTTCATATAAATGCTGATAATAAGATGTATATCTAGTTGATTAACATATGCAATTGTTTTCATTATTTAATCTTTAAATAAAATTCTTTGTCCCATCATGTTACCGCGAAAATACATCTCAAATTATTCACATATAATAGAATTCACCGTGAAATCTCACCAATATTTCATAATAACAATATATAAAAATATTATACAGATCCCTGTCAATCTCGAATCTCAAACGACTTAAATGCACCCTTGTTTTATTACGATATAGAATAAAAATAAAAATATAAAGACCTGCGTATGCCAATTCCTTCGAATCGTCCATGTCGGAGGCTAAACGGAGACTGACATTTTTTGATGAATCTAGTATTTCTCCCTCATTTCTCAGGACGCAGCAATTACGCATGCCCACGGCAAAAGTTTCGAAGCCCACGTGCCGCGGTGCAAAGTATCGGGCATGCATAAATATTTCAAATACCAATGTTCGCGATGTCTTTTTTATTACGTTCGTCTTTTTACATGTAATTTCTCGTTCGAAGAATCGAATTTGTATGGCCCCCCTACAGCATTGCTAAATAGCCCATAAATATCTAAATGGGTGCAACGACCTCCAATTTTCCCGACATTTATTACTAATTTATCCTCCCGTGTCTTTTCTTACTGAACTTGCTCTTTTTTTTGATCAATTTGAATTTTGTGGAACTTAACCAGCGCGTCTTTCTTTGAGCGAACTTCAAAAATGCAAAAAAATTAATATCGCTAAGTTTTACAAGCGATGCTTTTGAGTAGATATTTATATCGCTAAAAGATGACAACCAAAATGCAAATGTAAGATTATTTTAAGGAGGAATAAAGAATGAATATACGTGCAGAAGGAAACGTGTCGTGCATTTAACATTCATTGAAAGATAAAAAGATAATTGCATAAAATACAAATTGTGTGTGACATATAACATTCATTAAGAATTATTGTTTGAAGTGGTGCGATTAATATACTATGTGATGAGTAATGAAAGATAATAATTTCAATAACAATTCCAAAATGTAAATTGTTATGTTAAATATGTCTGAGCAATGTATATAATTTATTTATTTAACATACGTATATAACAAATATAATATTAATTTGAAATTTATTTTAATTTGTTTTTATAATTCGTGTCGAGTCTAAATCAATTTAATAGCTTGAATCGTAAAATTATATATGAAACAGTTTTATATAAAATTAGATATAAAACTTAATATACTTTCAACGCGAAGTGATGATGATAAATTGATTACATATACGAAAATTTCTTTTGCTCGAGTTAGCGATATCACTTTATCACATAAATACGAATTTAATCAATTTTACACGAATTTTACGCATTAATTAAACGCTGTTTGACGCTGTATTTTTATTGCTTTATTCTATCAAAGATTGTTCAAGTCAGTGTCCAAGTATTATTAATGATTAGCATGCAATACAGATATATAACCAGCTGACGTCTTGAGTAACTGAAAACAAAATGTAATAAAACACAATTAGTGTTCAGATAAATATTTACAAAATATTCGTATAAAATATGTTTTAAAAAATATTTCAATCTAAGAGTGTGCAAAAAAATTATGTGAATACTTAAATAAGAATATCAGGGCTATCTTACGCTACAAAACATGGATAACGTCATTGGAAATATTTTTCCAGCGGTAATATAAAGAGGCTTTTCGGCGCGAATCATTATCAGCATCAAGCTTCTGGCTTCATTCGGTTTCAGCGTGTACCATGCAAAATCATATACCGCGTAAAATATGTCATCACACTGTATATACATTATTATTATCGAAACAAGTGTTTATTAAGATCTCACTTTCATATATGATAAAGAAAATTCACACCATCATTATTACACGTTAACTGCTGATCTACCTGATGAACCTGGCGCCCATCTTAATAAAAATTAAAAATAAATAATATAGTTCATTTGTGCTTTGTTTCTACCTGTTTGTACCGTTTGTTTTTTTGTTTGCATCTCAAAGGGTTAAATAATATCAGAGGGTTAAAAAATAATCAGCGCCTAATTTTAAAATGTTTTAATTTTATTACCTTAAAATTAGGCGCGCACTATTTATTTTTAATTTTTATTATGTTAGGCACCAGGTTCACATTGGTGTAGACTAAAGAGCTAATATCGTTTAATTAAGAAATAATCACGACTTGCAGATATATATGGATAAGGTCAAATGATGAAAACTTTCTCATAATTCAAATATGATACTTACTTTTTCAATGAGCATGTCACCGACCACGCAATAAACGCACATGTGAACGAACGTATTAATGAGTACTGACACGAGCCAAAATATTCGCACAACGGAGATGTCGCCACCATCATTCATCATCTATACACGTTAACACAATGTTTGCACGCGTAATTACATTTTTTCTTAAACTTTTAATTTTTTTTAAATTTAAGTTATAATAAAATATAAACTAATATAATCTAGTATGTTTTCTAAAATCAGATATCACTTTTATACGAGGAAATAGAGAGTGAAAGAGTTTTGTAGCTTGGTGATATAAATATTTATTATATGTACTGTGCAAAATATTGTGCGGTAATAGATATTTCAATCTTTGATTGACTTCATATATTTCATATATCAAAAGAAGTCTCCTTTCTCTCTTTTATAACTTACGTTAATAATTAGAAAGCCTTGAAGACAAAACAATATACCAAAATACACTAATAGTGCCAGGAGCATTAAATTGAACGTTTTGTCAATGATTTCGACGGACCTATGGAGTTTAGTATAGCATTCTGTAAAGTATCAGTCACTTGATTTTTAGTTATATAATAGATTTTTCATGTAACTCTTTTTTGTGCCTATGACTAAATCGAAATGCATCCTAATATAGACGTATATTTATCAAGGCTTTTAATTTCATTATAAAATGTTTGCTCGATCGTATATATGCGACTTTAATAAAGTATCGTTTAGAGAAAATTATTCCAATTTTGTCTGTGGTTTTAAGAAATTAGAATACAAGTAATACAAATAAACATAAATCGGCTAACGTTAGATTAGCGTTGAATCTGAATTATTCATTTTTTATCTGTTATATAATAATCAAGAAAAAAGATGACGAAACGCTCTTTAAGCAAAGAGATTAAGTAATAATCCGATCTGCGTCGGTGACCATAATAAATAAGGAGAATTCAATTTGCAACCTGATGAGACGTACGTGATTCCGGACATTCATGGATAATCCAACATTGAAGTCTTTGAATTCGTCAAAATTGAGCAATCGCTCTTTGAGGATCTCCATTTGACCGCAGATATGAAAGACGAGCAGTCCCAGAAAATTGTCGATACCCGTATAAGTGAAAGCGCCCAATATGATGGCCATAGCTTGAGCGAAGAACATGATCTCGAAATTCGGGCTCATCGACATATCGCGAAAATAATATGTTTGCAGTAACAATGGTTTCCCCGGATCCGTTATATTCGTCACATATCTCATGGAATATCCAAAGCACGGCGGGACGATGAGAGTAAATATCGCTATTACCATCATGATGCATCCGAATATGATGAGTATTCTTGCAATTTTCGCCTTGCTCATCATGGTGACGCGTTCCTTCTCCGTCTTCTTTCGAGTCCAATCTGCCACGATCATGTTTACGACCGATTCGAGATCTTGAAAAGATCAGATAGCAGAGTTCATATCGTTATTCCATGATTTGGAAAGTTAAAAATAAGGATATAAATAATTTCGTATGATAAATTGCTGATTGATCGCATATTTTTATTAAAAATTTCACGAAATTATTACGGAAAAATATATGACGAAGTAAAGAACAATATTTTAAAATAAAGTGGAAATAAAAAAATTTTTTTTTATAGAAAAGAGGAACAAAGAGGAAGAGTTTAAACATATTATATATATATAGTTATTCTATTAAGCATTCCACTTTGCAATAAGCATTAATCTCTACCTTCTTTACGAAGCCACATGATGATAATTTTTATGGCACAAACTGAGAAGGGTAGCGTAATTTGCAAATTGTCTATTATTGCCACCATGTCATTCCACACTCTCGTTAATGAGAATATCGAAGGCATTATTTGCACGACGGTCAACAGAAGAAAAATGAAGAAAGAGCGAAATTTTGCCCAGACTTTTTGTCGATAATTTAATTTATCGTTCGGCCACAAACCAATCATCGCCAAAGTAAAACGATTTATTCCAATAGCCCAGTTTAAATCTATATGAATAGAGTAAAAATTATATCTTTAATAAATATTTATATGAATATAATTCATTTCTTATTTCAGAGAGATTGTGCTATTAAATTAATTTTTTTTCTGTATAAATAATGAAGCGTAATACAAGTCGAATCGCAAATATATACAAATTAATCTTATTTGTTCACTATACAATATTTTGCTATTTATCTATTCGCGTCAAAATGTGTAAAATTTTTCGAATATGTATAGTTAATAATTGAAAGAAAAAACATTTTCTAAAAATATATCTTTTTTTTTATAATTTATAATACATATCACAAATTTATAATATACTTGCGAAATAAAATATTCTTTATATTAATCTTTATTATCGACAAAATCAATTAATCACACCTGCGTATTCATCATGTTTAGAGTTGTCCATATCCGATAGTAAATGAAGACTGGCATATTATTTCTCTTTTTCATCTAATCGCCTTACTCTTAGGAAAAGATAATAATTGCAAGTTCATGACAAAAGTTTTATAAGTAATAAGCATAAGATGCAAAGTATAGGATCTCATAAATATATCAGAGATATATTACAATGCAATTGGTCTATTCTTTTTATTCTAACGAATCTAACTATTAGAAATCTTTGATATCAAGTAAATGAATTCATAGTTTTTCTCTATCTCTAACTTCAAGTTTATAAATTTCTAAATGAGTCAAACGGTTCTTCGTATTTTGTCTCTTTATTATTAATTTATTCTCTCTTTTGTTTTTCGTCCATCCTTTTTTTCCAAGTCCATCTTTTTTTAATGTTATTCCTTGAATTTTACGAAACCTAATCATTGAAGGGAATAATATAATAGTGCAAAAAATGAACGCCTATACAGCGTCTCGAATCGACAAGTATCTAGTTTTACGAACGATGCATTGATAATAATGCATTGTTATAGCAACGTGAAGAAAACAATGAATAATAAGACGAGAAGGTACAAAGATATTACGAAGATTAAATGAAACATTTCAGTCATCAAACAGACATATTTCAGTTCTAATGTGAAAAGCGTTTTGCGGTGAAATGTACAATTGACGTATCATAATGAAATCAAATTGACGTCATTTAACATCAAATAAGTATTGAATTTCTAAAAGAAGAAAGAGAAACGAAAAATAATTGTAAGAAATATATATTGTATATAACGAATCGATCTAAATATACATAAAACATATAGACAATATTTAATTTGAAAATATATATGTGGAAAAATTTTGTATGAAGAGCACAGAAATGAATTTAAATATTATTGAGAAAAGGTAAATAGTTTATTCATAATATATTTCATAAATGAGTACATTTAAACTTTTTTTAAAAGATTTTTCACTCTTTGCAATAATATAATGAAACGGAAATCGTATATTTAATGCTTATTCATTTACAAATTATTTGATTGAAATTCAGCCTTTTATGTGGTCTTTAATCTGCAACATTACATGTAATTCTATTTTTTTAATTAGTTGTAGTACAAAATGTTAAATATACAGTTGCAGTACAAAATGTTAAATATATATCGGGGCTGTAATAAACACACGGTCTTAGTAATAATTTTTATAATGTAAAAGTATAGCATGTTATTAAATTTATTTTTTTCTCGTAATAATTTCGTGAAATTTTTAATACAAATATGCGATCAATCAACAATTTATTATATGAAATTATTTATATCCTCATTTTTAATTTGCCGAATCATGACAATAATAATATGAGCTCTGCATTCTGATCTTTTCAAGATCTCGAGTCGGTCATAAACATGATCGTGACAGACTGGACTCGAAAGAAGACGGAGAAGGAACGCGTCACCATGATGAGAAATGTTAAAATTGCAAAAATACTCATCACATTAGGATACATCATGATGGTAATAGCGATATTTACTCTCATCGTCCCACCGTGCTTCGAATATTCCATAAGATATGTGACGAATATAACAAATCCGGGAAAACCATTGTTACTGCAAACATATTATTTTCGTGATATATGTCGATGAGCCCAAATTTAAAGATAATGTTCTTTGCTCAAGCTATGGCCATCATATTAAGCGCTTTCACTTATACGGGTATCGACAATTTTCTGGGACTGCTCGTCTTTCATATCTGCGGTCAAATGGAGATCCTCAAAAAACGATTGCTCAATTTTGACGAATTTAAAGACTTCAATGTTGGATTATCCATGAATGTCCGGAATCACGTACGTCTCATCAGATTGCAAATTGAATTCTCCTTATTTATTATGGTCACCGACGCAGATCGGATTATTACTTAATCTCTCTTCTTAAAGAGCGTTTCGTTATCTTTTTTCATGATTATTTTATAACAGATAAAAAATGAATAATTCAGATTCAACGCTAATCTAACGTTAGCCGATTTATGTTTATTTGTATTACTTGTATTCTAATTTCTTAAAACCACAGACAAAATTGGAATAATTTTCTCTAAACGATACTTTATTAAAGTCGCATATATACGATCGAGCAAACATTTTATAATAAAATTAAAAGCCTTGATAAATATACGTCTATATTAGGATGCATTTCGATTTAATCATAGGCACAAAAAAGAGTTACTCCATAGGTCTGTCGAAATCATTGACAAAACGTTCAATTTAATGCTCCTGGCACTATTAGTGTATTTTGTATCGTTCACATGTGCGTTTATTGCGTGGTCGGTGACATGCTCATTAAAAAAGTATCATATTTGAATTATGAGAAAGTTTTCATCATTTGATCTTATCCATAAATATCTACAAATCGTGATTATTTCTTAATTAAACGATATTAGCTCTTTAGTCTACACCAATGTGAACCTGGCGCCTAACATAATAAAAATTAAAAATAAATAGTGCGCGCCTAATTTTAAGGTAATGGAATTAAAACATCTTAAAATTAGGCGCTGATTATTTTTAAACCCCCTGATAATATTTAACCCTTTGAGATGCAAACAAAAAAACAAACGGTACAAACAGGTAGAAACAAAGCACAAATGAACTATATTATTTATTTTTAATTTTTATTAAGATAAGCGCCAGGTTCATCAGGTAGATCAGCAGTTAACGTGTAATAATGATGGTGTGAATTTTCTTTATCATATATGAAAGTGAGATCTTAATAAACACTTGTTTCGATAATAATAATGTATATACAGTGTGATGACATATTTTACGCGGTATATGATTTTGCATGGTACACGCTGAAACCGAATGAAGCCAGAAGCTTGATGCTGATAATGATTCGCGCCGAAAAGCCTCTTTATATTACCGCTGGAAAAATATTTCCAATGACGTTATCCATGTTTTGTAGCGTAAGATAGCCCTGATATTCTTATTTAAGTATTCACATAATTTTTTTGCACACTCTTAGATTGAAATATTTTTTAAAACATATTTTATACGAAATTTTTTGTAAATATTTATCTGAACACTAATTGTGTTTTATTACATTTTGTTTTCAGTTACTCAAGACGTCAGCTGGTTATATATCTGTATTGCATGCTAATCATTAATAATACTTGGACACTGACTTGAACAATCTTTGATAGAATAAAGCAATAAAAATACAGCGTCAAACAGCGTTTAATTAATGCGTAAAATTCGTGTAAAATTGATTAAATTCGTATTTATGTGATAAAGTGATATCGCTAACTCGAGCAAAAGAAATTTTCGTATATGTAATCAATTTATCATCATTACTTCGAGTCGAATGTATATTAAATTATATACCTAATTTTATATAAAACTGTCTTATATATAATTTTACAATTCAAGTTGTTTAATTGATTTAGACTCTACACAAATTATAGAAGCAAATTAAAATAAATTTTAAATTAACATTATAATTGTTTATATGTATATGTATGTTAAATTAATAAATTATATACATAGCTCAGACATATTTAACATAGCAATTTACATTTTGGAATTGTTATTAAATGTATTATCTTTCATTACTCATTACATAGTATATTAATCGCACCACTTCAAACAATAATTGTTAATGAATGTTATCTGTCACACACAATTTGTATTTTATGCAATTATCTTTTTATCTTTTATTGAATGTTAAATGCACGACACGTTTCCTTCTGCACGTATAATTCATTCTTTATTACTTCTTAAAATGATCTTACATTTGCATTTTAGTTGTCATCTTTTAGCGATATAAAATTCTACTCAAAAGCATCGCTTGTAAAACTTGGCGAAATTAATTTTTCTGCATTTTTAAAGTTTGCTCAAAAAAAGATGCGCTAGTTAAGTTTCATAAAATTTAAATTGATGAAAAAAAAGAGCAAGTTCAGTAAGAAAAGACACGGGAGGATAAATTAGTAATAAATGTCGGGAAAATTGGAGGCCGTTGCACCCATTTAGATATTTATGAACTATTTAGCAATGCTGTAGGGGGGCCACGAATTCGATTCTTCGAACGAGAAATTACATGTAAAAAGACGAGCGTAATAAAAAAGATATCGCGAACATTGGTATTTAAAATATTTATGCATGCCCGATACTTTGCACCACGGCACGTGGGCTTCGAAACTTTTGCCGTGGGCATGCGTAATTGCTGCGTCTTGAGAAATGAGGGAGAAATGCTAAATTCATAAAAAATGTCAGTCTCTGTTTAACCTCCGACATGGACGATTCGAAGGAATTGGCATACGCAGGTCTTTATATTTTCATTTTTATTCTGTATCGTAATAAATCAAAGGTGCATTTAATGTAAGCCGTTTGAGATTCGAGATTGACAGAGATCTGTATAATATTTTTATATATTGTTATTTAAAAATATTGGTGAGATTTTATGGTAAATTCTATTTTATGGGAATAATCTGAAATTTATTTTCGCGGTAACATAAAGGGACAAAAAATTTTATTTAAAGATTAAATGATGAAAACAATTGCAAGTTAATCATTTAGGTACATCTTAATATCGCCGTTTATGTGGAAAAGTTTATCATGAAATTTCACCATTTTTCCACTTAAATTTAATTAATTACTCGAGCATATAATCATTAAAAAAAATTAATTATTAAAAAAATTGTTACAAATATCACGTGATTTAATAAGGAAAATGGAAATAGACTTGGATTGGGCGATCGGAGTAAATCGGACTTCTCTGAAGATCATCGGTCTCTGGCCGGATGATAAGTTAACTCGTCGAGAAAAATTTTTGGCAAATCTACGCGCTTTCATTATCTTTGTCACGATGTTTATCACAGCAGTTGTACCCGGAATATTCGCGTTAGTGAAGGTCTGGGGTAACATACTAGCGATGGCAGACAATCTGCAGATCGCTTTACCTTTTACGGTGACTGTCATGAAATTTGGCCTTCTGTGGCAACGCAAAGAAAGTAAGTCTGCATGAATATTAATGTATACTTTAGCAATATTTTTATTGCATTCATTTGTCAAGAGCATTGCCATTCTATCCATTAAATTTTTTAATTTCTTCTCCGAAGGTCTTGTACCGATCATAAACATGGTGATAAATGATTGGATCAAAGCGAAGACTGAGCAAGAACGAAATACCATGAGAAAGCAAGCAAAACTTTCGAAAGCAATCATTATGTTCGGATGTATTATGATGGGTTTTGCAGCTATCATTCTCATCATTCCTCCTATCTTTGGATACTCGATGAGATATCTTACGAATCTCACAGATGGAGATGGTTCAAGACCGTTTCTATTTCAAACATATTACTTGCGAGACATGTCGGACAGCCCGTATTACGAAACTATTTTCGTTTCTCAAGCTATTGCGATCATGATGGCCGCGGTTTCTTACACGGGGGTTGATAATTTCTTGGGGCTGCTTGTATTTCATATCTGCGCTCAACTGGATATTCTTAAAGTGCGAATTTTGAATTTGAACGACTTCAAAAACTTCAGCGCCGCAATAGCCTTCAATGTTGAGGATCACTTACGTCTCATTAGGTTGTTTTAAATTTTCGCTGTTCATAAATGTTATTTAAACATTTACAAATGTATAAAAATTTAAATATTGTGCTGAAATATTTCTAATATATTTTATGTATATATAGAAAGATTTCTTTTATTAGATTTTACATTAAAAATCATGGTAATCGTGGAACTTTATAATATTGTAAGAATCTTATAAGAGTTTCTCTGATTAATACTTACTATAATAAAAAATAATAGTATTTATCATAACAAGATATAAAAAAAGTTTGATTAATTTTATTATGTATATATTATTAATATTTTTATTGTGGTAAATATAAATCAGAGAAATTCTTATAAAATTCTTTTAATTCTATATTATTTACTACGATTACTATGATTTTCAGGGTAAACTTTAAGACAAAATTCTCTCCGTGTATATGATTTAAAAAAATTCAAATATATTCATTCAGGATACCCTTAATGATATTTTTAATTTTACTAATTATTCATATAATTATAGTGTCATAATATATGTAGAAACTGGTAACAAACAAATTTTATATTATGTGCATTTTTGCATTAAATGATACGACTCCTAACGATGTTACAGTTTTGCCAAACACTCAACTTATTAAATAAGTATATTTCACATTTTTATCTGATATTCATATATGATAATATCATATATTTTGAAAATTATATATTAAGAAATAATACAATACATATATTATTTCATTTATGTATATACGATACCTTTATATCGCTTTTTATTATTATGTCAAATGCATCCGTTTGTAGCAGCTTTTTGTATGCTAATTTATTATACTCTAATATGTTATATCTCAAAAATGTGTCTTTAAGAAATTTCTTTTATTATATATTAAAATTATTCGATGTTACAGTATGTGATATTTTATAGGTCCGTTGATGTCATTGACAACACGTTCAACTTGATGCTCCTCTCATTGTTAGTGTATTTCGCTATGTTATTTTGCGTTCAAGGATTTCTATTAGTTTCCGTAAGTTGCCGAAAGGGAGAAGAGCTAATTAAATTGTAGTCTCAAGGTAGTATAAAACGTCCACAATTTTTTGTTGCAATGGAAACGAAGACGAGGTGAAAAGACTTGTGACCTTGATCATTTCAAAATTCTTTGTGCAAATAATACATATACATTAAAAAAAATTAATTAGATTGTTAAAATAAATTAGACAAACAAAAGAATCGAATAATTGCGTAGAAATCATACGTACATATATTAATGCATGCAGGGAGAGGACTTTCTTTTAGAATTTACTCTGAAAATCATGATAATCTAGAGACAATATGGTATTGGAAGAATTTTTATAAAAGTTTCTGTGATTAATACTTATTGTAACAAAAAATATTAATATGTACATAGTAAAATTAATCGAATGACATATTCTATATATCTTATTATGGTAGATATTAATACTTTTATTATTATATAATAAATATATTAATCAGAGAAACTCTTATGATATTCCTCCAATATTGTCCCAGGATTACCATGATTTTTCAGGGTAAATTCTAAGAAAAAAATTGTCTCTGTGTGCTTATAGATGCTTGACGGAAATGGTGGTGATATTACCTTTATGCGATTATGTTGGCTTGTTTCGATTCTTATTAATACATTCGTTCACATGTGCGTATATTGTGTGGTCGGGGAGATTCTTATAGCCAAAGTAAGTATACATTGTTAATATAAAAATAATTGATCTCGATATGATGATATTTGAGAATTGTCTCTTCGAAGGCCGAAGGAGTGTATTATGCGGCGTACAGTTATACGTGGTATTTGCTAAAGCCAAATGAAGCCAAGAACATGTTAATGATAATGATTCGTTCTGAAAAACCTCTTCTCATTACTGCGGGCAGAATATTTCCCATGACATTGTCTATGTTTTGCAGCGTAAGATTCTTTTAATTAATTTTAGTGCCCGTATATATAAATGCGATTATTATAAACGGAGATAATTAAAAAAAATTATTTTCCTCTTTCTTTTGATTTATAATTATTTATCATTATTATCACTGTACTGTATTATTTATTATATCATGTTTTCAGTTAATCAAGACGTCAGCTGGTTACATATCTGTTTTGATGGCTAATCGATAATAATTCTGCGATATTAATTAGATATTCAGATAGTGAAAATAGTGTATCGTGAACAATTCCAAAAAGAAACGATTATTTATTAAGTACTTATATTAATTCATTTGACATTTATACCAGCGAGAAATGGTTTTCCGAATTGATGTCGAATCAACGTCAAAACCTATATCGAAATCTAAATGATATATCATCGATTTCGATTGATTTATATCTGAATTTTCGATAATTTATCGACTCAGAATAAGTCGATTTCGACTCAATATTGATTATTTTTTTCTCACTATAATAATAATTATAATTAATTATATAAGAAGTAAGAAAATCTGTATCTTTTTCTTTGTATTAAATACATTAAGATAAATTAATTTATTCATATTTTATTGTGTTTAATACTATTCGTAAAATATATTATAAATGGTCATTTTGTATTAGATAAATGCAATTCAACCAAGATTTGTATATATTATGATTTAATGATAAAACAACTCACATAATACGAATAATAGAAAATATACAAATTATAATATATAAAATTTACTTTTTATTCTTAATATTTATTTTTTTATAGTTAAATCTTTATTTATATTAATGAATTTAAAATATACATTATACATAATTTTAATACCTGAATTTCCATTATGTAAATAATTTTAATTCCCGAAGCTTTATTATGTACATAATATTAATTGATCGGATTTCTATTATGTACAATTTGAATTATTTACATAATAGAAATACGCCGAATTTTAAATTATGTATATATAATAAAAAATAAAAAATTAAAATTATGTACATAATAGAAAATCGAGAATTAAAATTATGTATTCCCTCATAATAAAATTATGTACATAATTGATATTCGGCGAATTAAAATTATGTACATTTGCTGATTATAAATTATTTATTATTTACGCGTGGAAAACTCCCGCGCGTAGTAGTACATGAAATCGGCCGATTCTGACGTGGCGTCACCACGTCACGAACTTCAGCCAGCGCCGCCACCAATTAGTGCAAGTCCTGCGGCGGAGGAGTAAAGGTGCGTCGCGAATGCTCCGCGTCTCGTCAGGATTTCGTGCGCGAGAAACGCGAATAAACAGTCCGGGAGTGCAGTCCGGGAGTGTCGTGTTTCGCGATAATCGAATAATCTTGTCGAAGAGCATCCGGGCGTCGACGGGGACCCGGGAGTCTCGGAGGATCGCGAGTTGATGGGCGAGGGGAAGGGAGAAGGACGTTCTGCCGTGATACTCGCGCATTTTTCGGCCCTATTCGCTCGCCAGAGAGCCTCACGAGGTATCTGTATCGTCCCGAAGGGTATCCCGGCGTCGACGGGTGTCCAGGAGTTTCGGAATTCGCGAATTCGTGGAAGCAAGCTAGTGGGGGGAAAGGGGACAGAGACCGCCGCTTGAGATATCGTTTCCGGCTGTATTTTGACTATATTTGGACATATTACAGTAACTCTCGTGCGGTATTTCGTCATTATCAGCTCGACGAGGAGCTTTCGCGAGTGCTCCAGCATCTCCAGGGTGTCCGAGTGTCGGTGAAAGTGTCCGTGAAGTTGAAATTTATCGAAATCAGAAATTCAAATTCTGGAGACCGTTGCTTGAGAAATTGTGGTACCGAAACCATCCGCGTAACCGTCTGTGGCGCGCAAGTGTCGCTTCGCCATGATACGTAACGCCGCGGCGCGCCGAGAGATGTCGCCATAATACACTTTCATAGATGTATCGAGTTAATGGGTATTTCGATGCGTTTAATGTGATTAATATTCAAACGCTCGCTTTCACGGAATCGGAAATGTATATTTTTTCAACAATATTTTCTCCGTGTTTTTATTCGCGAATGCGATATCGAACGTGATCGAGTGGGATCGAAAGTGCCGAATGCATTCACGAGTGATCTTATTTTTTTCGTATCGTACGTTCATTTCGAAGTGCAATAGTGTGTAGTGAAATGTGATAAATAAATATAAAATATAAAAAAAAACCGTGCAGTGATTAGTGCCAACCATATAGGATTATAGCAGAGCAGCAGTGGAACATTAAAGTGGATATATCAAAGCAGAGTAAGTTTAGACAATCGACTAAACGCAATAAGAGGTTATTTTTGGTTAGGTTACACTGTTAAAAAAATAATTCATTTAAATGCAGAACACTAAAAATTTTTTTTCTTTTCTGGGAGGGAATTACTTCACAGCGACTATCCTTTTTTCAATTAATTAATATTAAAAACTAACATTAAGAAAAATAAAACTAACATGAGAAATAATAAAATTAACTTGAGGAAAAATAATACTAATGTCAAAAAATATAAAATTAATATTAGAAATTATAATAATAATATCAGGAAGAACAATACCAATCTTAAGAAAAATAATATAATAATACTAGGAAAAATAAAACTAAAATTATGAAAAATAAAACTAATATAGAAAAAATAATATAAAAAAAAAATGTATTATAGCCAAGTTCTAAAAGATATATAAAATTAAAAATTGAGAAATAGCGGGCGCATAGCGCAAAATTATAGTTCCCGTATTAAAAAAATAAATCTTAAAAGTCAAGCGGCAAATGTAGGTATGTATATAACTAAAAACACGACATTTGCAATAGCGAATATGTCTTCGAGCGGTGATAGATCGATATCGATTTTGAAACAAATAATTTAAAAACAAACCAACTTAAAATATCTCAAATTTACATGCTCAGTAGTGTTTAGAATCGCTTCTTGTGGTTTGCAACAATTGCATTCAAATGTTACATCGATGTACAAAACAGAAATTAAAAATCTTAAAATTTGAAAAAATTCATCTTTGACAGTTTTGTTTAAACTGCTGTATTTTTTAAAGTGTGCAACTTAAAGCGAAACGAAATTCACTTCACACATCTAAAACGATTCTTATAAGACTGCTGATTTGGATTTGCGTTATTTTTAATTTGGGGAAAAACTTGAAATTTTGATTTTTCTATACACGACGCAAGCGATCGACGCGTACTATCATTTTCGGTATTAAAAAAATTAATTCCTTATAGTCAGCTGTCAGATTCACATTAATATATAGTAAAAACACATTTTCATATGCGTTCAAAGTCTTTAAGCGAAGATAGATCGATTTCGATGTTGAAAAGAAAAGTTTAAAGAATGACAAGCTTTAAGATATGTAAAATATACATGCTCAGTCGTGTTCAGAATCGTTTCTTGTGGTTCGGGACATTCGCCTGCGAAAGTTACAATGATATACAAAGCAGAATTCAAAAATCTTGAAATTTAAAAAAATTTATTTTTGACAGTTTTGTTTAAACTGCTGTATTTTTTAAAGTATGCAACTTAAAGCGAAACGAAATTCACTTCACACATCTATAAAGGATTCTTAATAAGACTGCTGATTTGGATTTGCGTTATTTTCAATTTGGGGAAAAACTTGAACTTTTGATTTTTTCACTGACGACGCGAGCAATCGACGTACTATCATTTTCGGTATTAAAAAAATTATTTCCTTATAGTCAGCTGTCAGATTCACATTAATATATATTAAAAACACATTTTCAAGTGCGTTCAAAGTCTTTAAGCGAAGATAGATCGATTTCGATGTGCAAGCGAAAAATTTAAAAAGTGACAAGCTTTAAGATATGTGAAATATACATGCTCAGTCGTGTTTAGAATCGTTTCTTGTGGTTCGGGACATTCGCCTTCGAATGTTACATCGATGTAGAAAGCAGAATTTAAAAATCTTGAAATTTGAAAAAATTCATTTTCGACAGTTTTGTTTAAACTGCTTTAATTTTTAAAGTGTGCGAATTAAAGCGAAACGAAATTCAGTTCATACATTTATAAACGATTCTTAATAAGACTGCTGATTTGGATTTGCGTTATTTTCAATTTAGAGAAAAACTTGAACTTTTGATTTTTCCACTTACGACGAGAGCGATAGACGTACTATCATTTTCGGTATTAAAAAAATTAATTCCTTATAGTCAGCTGTCAGATTCACAGAAATATATAGTAAAAACACATTTTCATGTGCGTTCAAAGTCTTTAAGCGAAGATAGATTGATTTCGATGTTGAAGCGAAAAATTTAAAAAGTGACAAGCTTAAAGATATGTCAAATATACATGCTCAGTCGTGTTTAGAATCGTTTATTGTGGTTCGGGACATTCGCCTTCGAATGTTACATCGATGTAGAAAAGAATTTAAAAATCTTGAAATTGAAAAAATTCATTTTCGACAGTTTTTTGTTTAAACTGCTTATTTTTAAAGTGTGCGACTTAAAGCGAAACGAAATTCAGTTCATACATCTATAAACGATTCTTAATAAGACTGCTGATTAGATTTGCGTTATTTTCAATTTGAAAAAATTTATTTCTGACAGTTTTGTTTAAACTGCTGTATTTTTAAAGTGTGCGATTTAAAGCGAAACGAAATTCAGTTCACATATCTATAAACGATTCTTAATAAGACTGCTGATTTGGATTTGCGTTATTTTCAATTTGAAAAAATTTATTTTGACAGTTTTGTTTAAACTGCTGTATTTTTTAAAGTGTGCGATTTAAAGCGAAACGAAATTCAGTTCACATATCTATAAACGATTCTTAATAAGACTGCTGATTTAGATTTGCGTTATTTTCAATTTGAAAAAATTTATTTTTGTCAGTTTTGTTTAAACTGCTGTATTTTTTAAAGTGTGCGATTTAAAGCGAAACGAAATTCAGTTCACTATCTATAAACGATTCTTAATAAGACTGCTGATTTAGATTTGCGTTATTTTCAATTTGAAAAATTTTTTCTGACAGTTTTGTTTAAACTGCTGTATTTTTAAAGTGTGCGACTTAAAGCGAAACGAAATTCAGTTCACACATCTATAAACGATTCTTAATAAGACTGCTGATTTAGATTTGCGTTATTTTCAATTTGAAAAAATTTATTTTTGTAGTTTTGTTTAAACTGCTGTATTTTTAAAGTGTGCGATTCAAAGCAAAACGAAATTCAGTTCACATATCTATAAACGATTCTTAATAAGACTGTTGATTTGGATTTGCGTTATTTTCAATTTGAAAAAATTATTTCTGACAGTTTTGTTTAAACTGCTGTATTTTTAAAGTGTGCGACTTAAAGCGAAACGAAATTCAGTTCACACATCTATAAACGATTCTTAATAAGACTGCTGATTTGGATTTGCGTTATTTTCAATTTAAAAAATTCATTTT